CATAATTTATATGATCACAACTACATGCATACACCTTTTCTATGGATTATTTACATCTATTTCGGTTCAAATCATTCTATCGTCAGAAAACCCTTCACTTGCACTTTATTTCCCTCCATCTATTGGTTGTTTCTCACTCCCCAGTTTCACATTGAGCTTTATTGGCAAGACAAATGACAGCACTTGTGTATTGCCAAAGATGGAGCTGTTTACACAATAACCTCCATGCCTTGTTGTTCGTTCGCTCTCTCTGTTTCAGCCAGAAGACAGCAATCACTCATTTGTCATTTCATGACATACTGCAGCATTTAAAATGCATTTCCATTGCATCTGAGCTCTATAAAAAATCATAGAACACGTACACACACACACACACACACACACACACACACACAGTCTGAGTTGATTCACAGCTTGATCACACAGTCCCTGCAGAGCTGAACTGGACAGGCTGTGTATTTGTGTCTGACTGCAGGAGGTGGTCTCTGATGTGGACGTGGCTGGTCTTTAAAGATAACTAGCGAGGTGCCGACATAGCATTTTAAAGCATAAATTTCCCTCAGAATAAATAGTGTATCAGTTTTTTCTAACGCTCATGTCATGTCCATGTCTAAAGTGTCCAACATTACACATTTTGTTAAGTGTATCTGGAAATTTTAAATGCACTTTTTTTTCATTGCGGACTACTTACACTATTCTTAAAATGGCATAAAATAATAATAAAAAGACAAAATGGGATGTATGAAACAAAAAAATTTGAATCATAATGCTTACAACTTATGCTGCGTCCGATCCTTCGCATTCAGCCTGAACAAGCTGTAAAGTTTTCCTTAATGTTCTGTTTTCTGATGTTAGAAGAAAAACATAATGCCTGGTACTTAAATGTGACATTGTAGAAGAAGAATGATTGTGATGAGCGAGAGCTCTTTTCTTTCTGCTGCATTCTTTTCTTCCTTATTGTTCTCTTGTTTTCTTTGTATTCCGCTGGAACAGAATGAAAAACATACTGCACATTTTTCATAGGATAAATCCAATGAATAATTCACTTGGAAGAGCTAACACTCCCTTAATCCTCACTGTTCTTTCCAGTTTTGTTTTCACACAGTTGCTTTATTTCAGAAAATCGTTTGTTCTCCCTTCACTTATAATGTTTGGTGTTTACTGGAGCATATATAGAGTAACATTTGTTATCAGTCACAATGACAGAAATAATCATTCAATGTTGCAACAAATAAACACTTAAATTACACATAATGTACTTGGTGTAGAGGAGTTGTTGGGGTCATTCTTGTACTGTTATCCATCCAACCATTAATCCATCAATCCTTTCATCCAGCCATATAATTTATTCTGCCTTTAAACCTGTAAAACCATCCCGCCATGTGAAATCAAAATTTACAGTGTTTATTTTGCCAGTACACGCTTATAATCTTCAGGTGAACAATTACTGCAAGTAAATCCACTGAAACAAAAAAAGAGAGATTTTTGGTAATCTTCAATCAAAGTCTACCTTTACCTGCCAACATTCGGAATTCCAGGAGTTTTCCGAGAGACAGAACAGTACGGGAGAAGGTCCGGACATGGGTCTGAAATACGAGAGACCCCCGGGAAAAACGAGAGTGTTGGCAGGTATGGTCTGACCAGTTGTTTCTGCATTTGAAGTTGTGGTCTTTCTCTGATGATGTCAGTTTGACGTCTTCAGTCCCAATATTCCAACAGAGGCTCATTTGGAAAATGTGCCCTGGGTTACATTTTTGAGAAGCGAGAAATATGTGCTTGCTGGTACATATGGCTGCATTTTGTGTGTAAAACAAACGCTACAGGGTGGTCCCGCTGACTGCTTACCTCCATATGATGGACTTTCTGGCATGACTGGTTTGGTCAGTAGCTCACTGCGAACAGTGCCAGACTTGGTTCGAGTCTGGCGAAAGATGGTTCTAGAAACCGTTCACTCATTTTCCTTCAGCTTAGTTCCTTTATTTATCAGGGCTTGCCACAGCGGAATGAACCGCCAACTTATTTTCAGCATATATTTTACACAGCGGATGCCCTTCCAGCTGCAACCCAGTATTGGGGAAAAAACATACACTCTCATTCACACACACAGACTACGGCTAATTTAGCTTATGCAATTTACCTATAGTTAATTTTTTTGGATTGTGGGGGAAACCAGAGCACCCGGAGGAAACCCATACAAAAACGGGGAGAACATGCAAACTTCACACAGAAATGCCAACTGGCCCAGCCGAGGCTCAAGTCAGCGTCTTTCCTGCTGTGACAGCGATACCCATGTTTTCATCAATTTTGTATTTATTATTTTCTTGAGTAATGAAATATGAAAAATTAGAGTTTTCTGTTTAAATTCCACAGGCTAATCACAATATATTGGATTTAGATTCATCGATAGATCTATAGACAGCAGTAAAGCTGATCAGTGACTGACAAGATCAGTTCCTCATATGTGCAGAAACTCACAACAGACTCTGAGCTCTTTGACTTTCTCTCCATTCCTTTGTTCAGACAGGTGTGAAGGTAGATATGTCAGATGTGTGTGTGTGTGTGTGTGTTGTTTATGTAGTTCATGAGGACACAAAATAGTATATTGACTCTATTAAGATGGTTTACAAGGACAAGGCTTTCAAATCAAACTTAGACCTTTTGACGTTCAAATTTGCCACAGGTTTCAAAGGGATGGGCTTAGGTAAAAATAAGCGCCTATGAAGAGTCCTTGTAAACCATATAAAAGTATGTGCGTGTGTGTTTGTGTGTGTGGTTTAACCGTTGCCCAGTGCTCTTTCTGATGACCTCTTCACTGATGTACACCTGGAGAGATGCCAGCTGATGCATCATCGTATATGACCTTACGTCAGAACTCCAGTCTCTGACGTTCCTTCTTCATTTATTGCACCTGCATGCACAGAACACAGACATACCTTTCACAGCTCCTGTCAGCTGATGATTTCCCTCTCTCCACCTTTCCTCTCACTCTTGACATTTCTGTCCTCACATCTTTATGCATGTGCGATTTCTTTCTCCCTTTGCTCTCCAATGTTCAGTCAATACATTTTTAATCTTCAAGAACGTTTGACTGTTTGCATTTTAATCTCAGCATATGTGCCATTTTTAAGTTACTGACGACATTTGTTGTCAAGTTAAGAGAGATTGAGTCTCATGAGGGTGTGTGAAGCTCTTATGAGGTCATTGGGTATTTATGGCTAGGATAGGAGCTTGCGCGTTTGCTAACACGTGTTTTTAGCAACCTGCAGCATTGATGCAACACCACAGTACTCAGTGGACTGATGCTGATGGCTAGGAATAGAGCTTTAGCTCATTTTGTCACAGATCCAAGAGAAACAGAACATTCTGGCCCTTCCTGATGTTTTCAAGCCTTGGCAACCAGCTTACAGCTTTTGTGAGGATAAGAGGTGTTCCTGATGTTATACGTCAATGAGTTTAAGTCCTGCTGACTGCCTTGACTGCAAACAAAAAAAGGAAAAATAAGGGAGGGCGAAAAAGAACAGAAGCTCACCAAGGCTACATTTCTGTCATCAAAAATACTGTGTTGTTGTGAAATATTGATTTTAAAATTAAATTTATTTTGATTGAAAATGTAACAGTAGTTTCTCTAGTATTCTGTATCACACAAACTTTCAGAAATCTTTTTCATTAATTTGGTCATCATGAAATATTCCTGACATAATATTTAAAAGTAAGTGCTCAATATTAATCTTAAATTTTTTGTGGAAACCACTTTTGTTGGATTATTTTAATGAAAAAAAAAGCTTTTGTCTGAAACAGAATGTCTCTTCTGATCATTTTAATGCATCCTTAACTAAAGAAAAATGATTTTAAAAAAATGGTAAATTTGCAGCTTTATTCTTCAGAACATTTAATGCACATAAAATATATTGCTCAAAAATATACAGGTAACACTTAAAAAGCACATTGTTACTCCAATAATTTTTTGAGCAGTATATATATATATATATATATATATATATATATATATATATATATATATATATATATATATATATATATATATATATATTGCTTCTTACATATAACACTTTAAATAATCTAGCTCCTGTTTCTCTAACCAACCTTCTGTATAGCTACAATCCAACTTGCTCTTTAAGATCTCAAAACTCAGGGCTTCTGGTAGTACCTATAATAGCAAAGTCTACTAAAAGAGGTTGATTCTCCTCATTTATGGCTCCTAAGCTCTGGAATAGCCTTCCTGATAATGTCAGAGGCTCAGACACACTCTCTCTGTGTAGATGTAGATGACGCTTATGCTCACGCGAATTCAAGAGGGGTGGGTGGGGTTGGCGTTGCGGGCCGGGGGGAGGAGGAGGGCAGGCCATATATAGCCCGCAGGTTGGTGGTTTAAGACCCCTACCCAAGAGATGCAGCGCCGTTAATGCGATCCAAGACCTTTGAAGAGAGGATGCCAAAGGTGTCCATAATACTGGACCTGGCCGTATTCTGAGCATATGCTGTGGCGGTCATGAGCGAAGAGCATTTTTTTACCTTCACTTTCGTCAGTTGGTAAAGTTTGTTCCTCGCTGATGTCGCGACTGGCTTGCTTGGTTGGGACTTGTGGAGCTGCACCGCAATGGATTTGCTCTTCAGTGTTTGGACTTTCAGCCGTGAAAATTAAACGACACTGAACTGAACTAAACTGAACTTCAACTCTAAAAACTGGACTGACACTGTTTCAATTGACTAGAACTTCTATGTTAAGCTGCTTTGACACAAGCTACATTGTAAAAGCGCTAAGAAATGAAGATAAATTTAATGAATACATGCACATTACGTCCTCTCCTTTCTCTCTACTCCTTCCTCACTAATGCTAATCCCCCTAATTGATTTGCCTGTGACGCAAAAGCACTGACTCAGACTTCCCAGTCATCACAGTAAATAACATTCAAATGAATATTGCTCCATCAGGAGGAACGAGAGCAGATTAACTAAATAAAATAGGAGACGTAATGATCTTTCTCAGAACTGGATGTTTTATAGTAATACACAAATATACATCACTTCCACCGTTGTGCTCACAGTGAAGAGAACGACACTCTGTCTCACTGGAACCGAACTAACACACACATTTACACACACACACACACACACTCGCATTCACACAAGTACTTGCTCGCCGCATGCAGTCCTGTTCAGTTTGTGCAGTCGTCCTGCTCCATCAGTCTCTGCTTGTTGTGCCTAATTTAGGCTGCTTCCACACCGTGTTCACTTACAAAAGACGTCAGGCAGAAACACAAACCAAACCGAGAAATCAAGTATAAAAAGAAGAGAGCGAATGAATTTCGACATCTGAATAAACAAAGATAAAAGCATCTCTTAAAAAATAAACAGATCATTGAGTTCATTTACATCATCATCATCATAATCACATTACCAGGATTTTCTTTAATTGTATCGCATGATGGAGTATTGAACTGTATACTAACAGTGAGTAGAGAAGAACAGCAATAGCAACATGACATTCGGTACTGCACAAGGTGGTGATCGATCGGGATTTTGAATGAAGCATGAAGAAAAAAGCGGCATCGGGCATCTGAGAGCGTCTTTGGAATCATTAATTGGTCGGGTTTGGCTGGCGCCTCCCCCTTTAGAAGAAGCCCCGCCCCAATGATATGACTGAGATCAGTTGATTGACAAGAGGACATTACTCGCGACATAAGTCCACAGTTCAAATCCTGCCCACTCAACCATGATATCCAACGACAGTTCTTGGTCGGCTAGTCTTCGGAAAGCGCATGCCACTTGGCGATCTGTCGCCGCGGGTGGTCACAGATCTCGCGCCAGTGCTCGCCTGCGGTGCCAGGAGAGGAGGTTCCCAGAACAAGCCGGCCAATGACAGGCGTACGAGACGTCCTGTCGGAGTCCAGCAGGAGAAGCTCCACGCTGGTGTCTCGCAGGCCGTCTTCTGAGGGCAGGTCGAAGACGAAGAGCTCGTTGAAGACTGGGTTGGGGGCACACTTTTTCACATGCGTCTTCTTCTTGCATACACGCTTCTTCCCCTGGAACAGGTTCACCTTCACGTAAGGGTCTGCAAAAGACGGGGGAAAGAGAAATTAATGGAGTGAGACAGAAATCAATACCTCCGTCGATACGTGGAAAATGATAGTTTGTGCTCTGGGTGATCACATCTCTGCTGTACAACGGGTTTTATAAGTGGCTGACACAGCTTGAGAGGTGCTGTGATGTACTAATTAAACCTTAAAACTCATTAATAAATGATGTAATGATTCAATAAAGTACAAACAACTAATCTTTCAGCTAGTTGGCAAGGGATATTTGTATGTAGTTTGTTGTATTTATATTTGTTGTACTAATATAGTTTAGTTTCTCAAGAATACAGCTAAAGGTTTGTCATTTTCGATCACTCTGTGTTGTTTTTTTACTCTATCAACTTACGTCAAAGTGCTCTGACTTTATAAAACGAACACTATCTATTCTATTTTCAGTCGATTCTGTCTGATATGTCTGATAGATATGGGCCAGTAGGGACCTTCTGCGCCTACTGGTAGGCTCAGAAGCCTGTTATCATCCATCCACGTGGTTTACCTGTTATAGATCACATAGATCTGCGGTCAGAAGATAACAAGAATAATTTTTTTTATTTATCACATTTCCTATTAATTGTATTTCATTAACGTCTACCCCAACCCTAAACCCGTCATAGTAATGTAGAAACAGATCTGGATCTGGAGTCTTCTCTATTAGTACAGCTGGTTAAACATGAGAATCATTTGAATGATTTATTAAATTTTATTAACATCTTATTAATTGTATTTTATTAATGTCTACCCCTACTCCAACCCTAAACCCAACCATCACAGTAATGTAAAACAGATCTGGATCTGGAGTCTTCTTTATTAGTATAGCTGATTAACCATGTAGATGTAGGATAACAACCTTCTTAGCCTACCAGTAGGCACAGAAGGCCCCTACTCGCCCATATATGTCAGCTGATAACCACTGACAACTCCCATTCAATCGAGTGAAAACATCTGAAGCAGCTGCTATTTTCTATTTTATCTAATGTAGATGTTTATCAAAAATTGCTTTGCTCTTCTAACAATACTTATCCCATATTCCATTCTATCCAATGTTTGCTATTTTGTTTGCGATCTACTTTGCATTTGATCTTGGTGGACTAAATCTACCAGGCTGTTGCGGCTGTCGATTATTTCTTGTTGAACCATTGACTTTCTACCTCTAAGAAATTAACAGAAATGCTGGTGTGAGCATGTATGGTATACTGCTGCTGCATAAACAGCCACACATAAACGCAGATCTAGACAGGTGGTGCTGGGGGAGAGCCAGATTATGATTATGTTGACGATCAGATTTTTTTTTTTTGGTCAAAACTCAACCTTCTGTAAGTAACACTATCTATTTTCTATGTACTATTTGGAGACTTTCTTTAAATTTCAGAGTTTACAAAAGGATGTTTTTAATTGACCTACTATATCAAGATTACAATTTCTATATTATCAGAATATAAACTAAATCATTTAACGTTCAATTATGCATAATTACTAAATGCTCATTCTAAAGTCCTTGCATTAGGCTTATACAGTGCTCAGCATAATTGAGTACTCCCCATTTTAAAAATGAATGTTTCTCCATTTGTATTTGTAAATACATGTTTCTCCACATGTATTTTGGTGCATTTAAACAAATGTATTTTTAAATAAATTTATTTAACATTTATTTAAATTAATTTATTAAACATATATATATTAAAATAATATTTTAGTCACCAAACATATTTAGAAATTGAAGGATAATCCAATTAAATTCAAGCAAAATATTGCAAAATTTATATTTAATATTTTTCTGTAACATATAAATTTGGCTGTACTAGTTTTTGGACCGTTATCGTAAGTTATTTTGTTAGATGAGCTCTATATTTGGCTCCAATTCTTACTAATCTATGTATATGCACAAATAAAATATAGTAAGCTACCTTTTAAAATATGAATGTAAAAGATGGATTTGTGAGGGGTGTACTTATATATGCTGAGTTCTGTACCAAAAAGACATGCATATTAGGTATTCCACTAATCAGATATATTAAGTATGCCACTAATTAACTCTGATAATGAAGGACTGTCCTCACCTGAGGGTCCGCTGGAGTCAGCTTTGGGCAAATGACGGGCTTTCAGCACCACTACAGTCAGAGTGCTGGTTGTCGACTGATAACACAGGGACAGAAGCAGCTCTCCTCGTCCAGCACTCCTCTATAGATCAGGAGAAAGAGGATTGATGTTTATTAACACATTACATTGTGGTGTGGACACAATCAGCATCACAAACCCTAAAATATATCTTATAACATCACGTTTTGGCAGTTAAACATGGGGTGGTTAGAGAGACAACTTCCAAAACAGAGCGCTGATGTTACGAGAAACGGAGTGTGAATCATTCCCTTGGCACAACACCAATGCATGACTCCAATTATGTGTGAACACGGCAGCATGTTGCCTTGGCAACACATCAGCAGGGCTCTGCCACGCCGATGACTTGGAATGTCTCTCAGCCAATGAAACATAATTATATGTGTTTAACTGTATGAGGCCACAGTCACCAGTGGAAGACAATAGCTTTCCTTTCAGCTCAAATGAGTGAATTCACACGTGCATAACAGTAAAGATTGTGTTGCCAAAACAAGGTTTTGTCAAAGATGTTGACTTCTGCCCTGTTCACTATTGTTTCAATCAGGTATGTGTTCTTTCAGTGCCCAGCTAAGACTTTCAGGAATTCAAGAGTGCATTAAAGCGTGATCACAACTAGTGTGACGCTTGGTGAGTAGTGCATTTATTAACCACCTACATACATTATTCTCTCTGTAAAGGCAGAGGAAATGGACTGGTCAGTTTATTAGGCAATTAAAAATGTACAATGTGTGGGCTTTAAGATTGATGGCAAAGACTATTTATTGATCCAAATAGACAAACAGACATCATTTTTTCCAGGCCTGGGTGTGTCATTGACTGTCCACATTAGGCAAGACTTATTATTAACTGTCTTTTAGTGTCAAATGATCTGGAACTGGTGTGTTAAGATCCTTAAAAATGACCAAATTTGGTTTCATCTTTCTGAAAAGCATAACATTAAGGGCGTTTATTTGCACAAAAGTTGGAATATCTGTTTGTGTATGTGTGAATATTGAGTGTGTCGGCAAAGATTATAGAATACACAGAAGACATGTCACTTGTACAGTGTTGCCAGATTTAGCTGACTGATTCCAGCCAAAAAAACTATCCAAAACCCGCTGAAAATGCACAAACAACTGCCCAGAAATTTGGAGGCTATCATAAGCATTTATGAGGTTTAGGATCAGGGGGGTCGGTGGGGTGTGGAGATATGCAACCGCGGCAAACCATTGCAAAACCGCCCAAATTTTCTCTACCAGACTATGTCATTTTTACCAGCACAATCAAATTCAAAACCGCCTAATCTGGCTACACGAATTAAGCCTAGTACCCTTCTAGTACAGGAGCCAACCATTGATCAATATATGGCGAACAAGCCCGTCTTTCGGTACAGGAGCCAATCATTGACCTTTGTATGGCGAATAAAGCCGGCCCTCTAGTACAGAAGCCAATCATCGTTTGCTATATGGTTAATAAAGCCCGCCTTTCAGTACAGGAGCCAATCATCTATCGCTATAAACCAGGGGTGGGCAAACTCGGTCCTGGAGGGCTGGTGTCCTACACAGTTTAGCTCCAACAATAATCAATTACACCTGAACAAGCTAATCAGTGTCTTCAAGATCACTAGAAATCTATAAGCAGGTGTGTTTGATTAGAGTTGGAGCTAAACTGTGCAGGACACCGGCCCTCCAGGACCGAGTTTGCCCACCCCTGCTATAGACTGACGATACTCCGGGGGAGTGGCTCAGACCAGACGTGAGCTTCTGCAGATTTTGTGTGATTTGGACGTTTAGAAATTAAATTCAATTAAAGAAATGGCTAACAGTTGTGGAGAATTTGATGTTTCTCCATTTTAGACAGAATGCCCGAGCATACTGCCCGAGAGGCGTTTCAAAGATGGCCACCGAGTGAAATTACTTGCCTTAAAGGGACTTTGGTGTCAGTGTGTGTGTGCAAAATAATGGTTTTGAAGATGTTTGATATTGTTTTATCAAAACTTTAAAGTAAACATTTGATTTAAAAAAAAAAAATTATTATTAATTTTAATTTTTATTATTTTACTGAACAAAAATGCACTAAATGGAAACATTTTTATTTTAAAACTGGTAGAAATGCCACCAGCAGGTTATAGAAACAAAACTGAATAATGGTGCACTCTACAAAATGCTGGGTTGTTTTAACCCAGCTGTGGGTCAAATATGACCAATCTCAATGTTGCGTTATGGTTTTCTTAATAAATCTAAATGACTTTTTTTTTTAAATCAACTGTTGGGTTTGTCCATATCTGGCTCAAGTACATTGGGTACATCCATAAAAACTGATATACAGTGCTTAGCATATGTAAGTACACCCCTCTCAAATCTCTCTTTTAAATTCATATTTGAATAGGAAGCTGTACAGTATTATATTTGTGCATATACATTACATTAGTCTGTACTGAAGCCAAATCTGGAGCTTATATAACAAAGCAACTTACGATAACAGTCCAAAAACTAGTACAGCCAAAATATGTTAAAGAAAAATATTAAATACAAAATTTAAAAATAGGAAACATCAAGAGAAGCAAAAAAATTAAAAAGATTTAGTTGAAATTTTGTAGGTTGTAATTTTTTTTTTTGCAATATTTTGCTTGCAATTTTAATTGTATTATGTTTTAATTTTTAAACGGGTTAGATGACTAAATTATTATTTTAATAAATATATCTGTTTAATATATCTGTTTTGTTTAAATGCACCAAAATACATTGCCTATATTCACTGAGAAATGGATCAAAATATTCATTTTTAAAATTGGGTGAACTCAATTATGCTGAGCACTGTACACAAACACACACAGAAGGTGTAATTAAAGCTTTTCTTACCCTGATATTTTTCTTAATAATGTCTCGGCTCATGAGGACGCGCCCCTCAGACAGGTCAATATCAGCCAGGGGAACAAGGGTTTCTCCAATGACTTCATCTCGTGAAAATCGGTCGAAACTCAGCACCATGAAGTGCAGAGCCAGCTGGGAAACTCGTGCAAATGGGATTCCATAGAAGCTGAAGGTCTCGTCAAAGGCCGGGTCCAGAGTCTTCCTCAAAACACGTGTCTTCACCTTGTGCTTCTTCTCAGGCAGCAGGGTCAGCTTAATATAGGGGTCAGAGGTCAGCGACTGTTCATCTGTGGGCGACAGACCATGTGCCTCCTTGATGTGAACCATGAAAGCCTTCTTCTCAAAGTTGTACTCAACGGAAAAGAAGAGCGTTCCCAGACCACCTTCCTTGTCCTGGGATTTCTCCACGGCTGGTGTTGGTGTATGACTGGATACCACGCTTTCTGGAGTACCAGCCTCCTGGTTCGCAAATCCTCCCTGAAGAGCTGGGATGTCAATATCTGGAGAACTACGCACCTTCAGTTGGAGTGTCGGTGGCTTTGTGGTGAAGTTTCCATTTAGGTCTCGTTTCTCCAGGTCTAGATGGAGGTCTGGCCGTCCACCAGTAGGACTGAGGGTTTGTTTTCCATGGGCTTCTGGTGTCTTTTCTCCTCCAAACTTCTTCTTTCCACTCAGGCTTTCAGGGTATATGTCAACCCCCTTCAGCATGTGGACGAACTTGTAGGGTGGGGTCTTGTTGCTGCTCTTGTTGGCTTTGCGTTGACAGCAAATCCATGCAAAGATGGAAACACTGAAGACCAGACCAAACACACTGACCACTGCCACGCTCACAGGAACCTCCGCTATATATGTAGAATTGAAAAGATAACATAAAACACTTATTTATTTGTTATTTTATAGATATATGGCTATGGAAAATGTGTTCATATTTTTATTCTATAAAGAGCTGATGCCATTTTGTCCATATTTCAAATAAAAATAATTATCTGGGGCATTTTTGGACAATTAAAGAAAGATATGTCTTTATTTGTTGTAACTGATAATTATGGTTATTTTGTACATTGATTTCAGGTACAGGGTTGTTTGAAAATGAATATATACATGACATACATTTGTTATTTATGCCAAATAAAGCTCTAAATGAGAACATTTTTGCTTTGAACTTGATATAAAGGTCATCATTAGTTTGCACAATAAAGTAAAAATTGTTTTATGCAAACACGTAACTATAAATCATATAAATTAAGATTTTTAAAAAGTGTTTAAGTGTTATATTGTCTCTCTGCAATATTAAAACACCTTTAACATCAGAGTCAGAATTAAATCAGAGTCAGAATTACTGACACAAAACACTGGCATTTGTTACTGTACTGGCATTTCTGACAAATTAGAAAATAGTAAAAAAAAAAATAGAACAACGTTTTTTAACCAATATATAAATAAATAAAATAAATAAAGTGTTTTTTTTTTTTACAGTTGTATGTAGTTATATTGTCTCTCTGCATTATTAAAACACCTTTAACACGTAAACCAGAGTCAGGATTACTTACACGAACACTGGCATTTGTTTCAGACAATGACATTTCTAACACTTCGAAGAACAATAAAACCACTTTTTCTAACTAAACATCTCAGGAGTCTCTTAAATCACAAATCAATCATTTAAAAATGACCGATAACTTAATTTTGGCTACGAAAGCTTATCAAGCCAATCATGTGGTAGTGCAGTAGTGTCTGGGAATCTGGAAATTTCCGTTTTCACGGTGGGTGCAACACCTCGAATTAGCGAAAGTGCTCAATCACACTTTTCCCCCAGAAAACCACTTCACATGACTATTGAGTGATAACTCCAAGCTTCGGACAAACATTTCAGCGCGTTTTAAATACATTTTCACATTTTACATTAGTGATGTCATAGATTACTAGAGCACGCGCCTGTTTATGGCTGTGCCCGCGCATCAGGGAGAAGCTGCGTTACAGTAGGCTAATTATTAAACCTTGTTTCTAAAAAAATTAATATGCATCAATTCTATAAACATGCACAAATATGATTTTTATTAGTGATAAATAACAAGGATTTACACACCAAAATGTGCTTCTTCTGTCGTCACTGGTGCCATTGTGTACGCGCGCTCTGTCCAAGGTCCTGAAAAGATGCTGCCGCTCACGATTCCTCACCGCACGTCGAGAGAGACACAAGACTGAATAATTTAATGCTTGTAGTAGATTAAAAATGTACGCCTGTTTATTGTCGCTCCAAAACAAAATAAAGCAAGACGTTCCCTCTTTCCCAGAGGTTTCCTCACACCCGCCCAGTGCTGATACTCAGTGCGCTATGAGTGTGTCTGACAAGAGACGCCTCAGCAGACCACGCCCTCCTGTGAGATCATCTTTTCTGACGCAGATCTGACGAACGCACTGCCTGAAATCACTACCCTGCATAGATTATATAGCCAATTTATTTCTTTTATTGGGTAAATATCCTATTCATAAATGTAAGTTTTCTTTAATATTGCACTTTGTGATTTAAATTAAATAATTATATTACAAAATGCTTACAACAAAAAGTGAATCTTTACAAATGATCTCTTTATGTATACAATTTTGCTTCTGAAATCATTTTAATTTCAGATTTTTCTGTATTTCTTACAATCCAAAAATTAAGTTTGCTGCTTGTTTGGACTACTTATTTAAAGCAGTGTTTCTCAAACTTTTTTCATCAAGTACCACCTCAGAAAAAAATTGTCTCTCCAAGTACCACCAAAATGAGCAGTATTGAAATACAATAGCGTAGTAGGCCCAGTAAAGCAGCTACAACTCTGCACAGTTAAAAAAACGTGGCAGATTACCTCAGAAATATAGGCTTTATGTCATATATGGCATATTATATACATCATTTTTGATAAATTTTTAAATGTGTGTAGCATGTACATGACATACATCCATACATACATTCCTCCGCGTACCACTAGAAGGAAGCCTGCGTACCACTAGTGGTACATGTACCACAGTTTGAGAACCACTGATTTAAAGTATTTAAAGTGGACTACTTGTTTATCACAGATCTTTTTGTATTTTTATTCTTACATTTTTATTTATTTGTTTGTTACTGTATTGGTGGTGTTTATGCCCCTTATACATACACTTTCTGTACATTTGTATGGCACTTAAGGACTTTGATGTTTGCAGACTGTTAGCTTTGTGTCTCTTCTGTTAAAGCCACAAAAGGGAAACTAATGGCGAGGATGTTTTTTGTTTTGACTGTTTTTCTTTTTTGAGCAAATATATTAAACAAATCCTATAAATAAAATACACTGTAAAAAGTTCTTCAAGGGTGTTGTCCATAGGAATTAATTTTAAAAAGTATATTTCTTCCAATAAATTGATTACCTTTCCATTTTGAATTAATTTAAGTTTTACATAAGTAAAAATTGCGATTGTTTTTGTAACTTATTATTACCCATCAAAAAATTGTGTTTTACTGACCTTCAAAATAAATTGCTTCTACAAAACTCTATTTAAGTGTTTATATCCAAAGTAAAACTTCACGACCCGCCCACATGACGCAGCAGGCATGCAGAGCAACGACACCGTTGCTCATACCTGTACCGGACAAGTTTCGACGTTCTGTGGAGTTTTTGAGGGCTTTATACAACGTGTAACACATGTAAGTAACTATTTACATTGCATAAAGTTAGGTTTTAGCCGACTGAGCACGCATTTTTTGCACTGTAAAATGTAAACAAGTCGCCTTTCATGACAGTAACGGTTAAGTTTGTCAGTTTTGCAAGCGCCATGCGGCCTTACCGAAAGTACGGAATTTAACATTAATCTTAAAACAACTATCGCAAACGTAGGATCGAAATATGTTAGATATATTGCCAGATTATGTTTCTACTTTGTTTTGTGTACATTTACAAAAAACATTGTCATTTTGTTTGTCTAGTATAGCTTTGGTGAATGTGAATTATTCTGTCTCAAATCATTCGTCTTAAATGTTATGCCTCTTTCCGAATTAGCTAGCAGAACACCACTAGCATGGGCTATCTTACTCGTACATGTGTCAGTTATAAGTTAACGGCTAAGTTTGTAGTCACAAATGTATTTCCTGCTTGATTGAAAAAGATGAGGACATTATATTTTTACCACCTATCTCTGCAATGTATCATAAAAATTGTTAAAGGTTTAACTTTATCTTTTGATAATTTGTTTGAAATATTTTAATTTACCTTAAATCATTTGTTCAATTTAAAAGATTAAATGTTTATTTGCATTGCAATATTATCAATGAATCTGATGTTTACCTAAACTCTTCTTTTAATTTGTGTTGCTTTTTTAGAGAGATGTCAGAAGCATAAATGACATGATGGCTAGGACATATAGCTGGGGGAGAATGGATTGGTTGTCCAGAGCCCAGATGTGCAAAAATTAAAGAAAGATGGCCTGCCCAGGTAAATGATTTATCAATGACATGCTGCTTGGCAAATAATGGTGAACAAAGATGTTTATGTGATGCTAGACACACTTTTTGCTGAACACATACTGAAAATTTTACCTCACATGTTTTATGGAGGATTTCATTACATAGGAATAAAAGGTTGCCAATTCTTTACACATTTGGTTCCAAATAACAGACAAACAATTGATGTATTACAGATAAACGAAGAATTCCAAAGGTGTACTGGTGTTCCACAAGAATCGGTTTTTATTTCCCAGCTGGACAAATACACTCCAAAACTTCTTGACCTGTTTAGTGCGAAGGGTGCAGCGACTGGTGAAAACATCAATTGGAGTTATTGGAACTGATACAGGTAAGGCAAACATGGTAACAATGTGGCTGATGCATGTTTATGCAATAAGTACTTTATTTACTCATCTTGCCTAATAGGTAAATAGTGCAAAACAAAGTCATTAATTTTAAGGGTAAATATAAAAAAAAGCGTGTGTGTGTGTCTCTGTGTATATGTATGTGTGTGTGTGTATATATATATATATATATATATATATATATATATATATATATATATATATATATATATATATATATATATATATGTATATATGTATATATGTGTTATTTGTGTATATATGTATATGTGCGTGTCTGTGTGTGTGTGTGTATATATGTATGTATGTGTGTGTGTGTGTATATATATATATATATATATATATATATATATATATATATACAGTTGAAGTCAGAATTATTAGCCCCCCTGAATTATTAGACCGCTTGTTTATTTTTTCCTTAATTTCTGTTTAATGGAGAGAAGGTTTTTTCAGCACATTTCTAAGCATAATAATTTTAATAACTCATCTCTAATAACTGATTTATTTTATCTTTGCCATAATGACTGTAAATAATATTTTACTAGATATTTTTCAAGACACTTCTATGCAGCTTAAAGTGACACTTAATGGCTTAACTAAGGTAATTTGGTTAACGAGGCAGGTTAGGGTAATTAGGCAAGTTATTGTATAACAATGGTTTGTTTTGTAAACTATCGAGAAAAAATATAGCTTAAAGAGGCTAATAATTTTGTCCCTAAAATGGTGTTTAAAAAATTTAAAACTGCTTTTATTTTAGCCAAAATAAAACAAATTAGATTTTTTTCAGAAGAAAAAATATTATCAGACATACTGTGAAAATGTCCTTGCTCTGTTAAACATAATTTGGGAAATATTAAAAAAAGAAGAAAAAAATTTGAAGGGGGCTAATAATTCTGACTTCAACTGTATATATATATATATATATATATATATATATATATATATATGTATTAGATAGATAGATAGATAGATAGATAGATAGATAGATAGATAGATAGATAGATAGATAGATAGATAGATAGAGTTGAACTCTGTTGAATAGGTTGTACAGAACCACACTGATAATGACATTTTACGTTTGTAGTTATATTGCCTGCAATATTCATATTTTTCATTATTCACTTACCAACTATAGGATTCAAGTACCTCTGTGGTGAGGAACAGAGACGTGGCTCTGAGATGCCTCATTGAATACATGGGAGAGAGTGGGCAAAAGCTGATCTCTGACTACTATGTAAGTCTTGTTTAAAAAGCATAGTTTGACTTTTTTGGGAAAGGCACACATTCCTCAGATATCAATCTTATGTCTGACTGAATTATAGTACAAAGATGGAGCTCTGTCAAACATTCGAAACACGCCTACAAACACCTAAATGATTATGCAGGAACCAGGGTACCAAGTTAACCTTTTGGACTTTTAGTTGCTTGTAGACTAAAAAATAATGTCATTTTTAACTGCAGTTTCACAAAAGTAAAATCCTTGTTTTACATTATGCAAAAATCATAATCATCTGACAATATAACTGTCAGAATGGCTTTTTCAGTTTTGCCACTTATTGTTCTGTTTATTCTCATACAGGGAAAAACAGAGAGCAGTGTCTATGAAGACTTGGAAATGCGCAATATGCAGATATATGTCTGCCGTGTTCCAGATGTTGTGGGCATCATCATTGAGGGCATCCCTGTGCTTACTCGTCTTGGAAACCACGCCAGGGCTATGAACTTGCAGTATCCACCACAACTCAGCAAAACATTTCAGGTGTTTCAAAGACATTTTGTGGGACTTGACACACTGCGTCCAAAGTCTTCCTCCTGATTCATGACACAAAAACTTCTGAATTAGTTAATTAGTTGCCGCTCAGAGGTTCTGTTTCTTTGCTTCATCACTTTTGTTCAATGGACAGTTTGACTTGGAACAATGTGGTAGTCACGCACCGACTTCTTCAGTTTCTGGATAAGTCTGCAGCAAATATGGGCATTTGATTTGCTTTTGTATATATGGGGCAAAGTTTGTTTTGTTATGTCAAATGCTGAGATCAGAGGCACTTAATTTTTTTTATTTCAATGTTGTAGTACATATGAAAATGTACTGTACTGTGTACACAACAGGCATCAGTTGGACACCTCAAACCCCCATGAGGATCCACACACACACACAAACACACACACACACACACACACGCTCAGTTTTAATGGGTAAAGTTTAATAGGGATACAGCTGCAGATACTCGCATCATTCATTCATTTTCCTTCAGCTTAGTCCTTCATTTATCAGGAGTTGCCACAGCGAAATGAGCCATCAACTACTCTGGCATATGTTTTACACAGTGGATGCCCTTCCAGCTGCAACCCAGTACTGGGAGACACCCATACACACTTATATACTATGGCCAATTTAGTTCATCAATTCCCCTATCGCACCTGGAGGAAACCCATGCCAACATGGGGAGAACGTGCAAACTCCAAACAGAAACACCAACTGACCCAGCCGGGACTCAAACCAGCAACCTTCCAGGGCCACAATGCTAACCACTGAGCCTACTTGCATAAATATAGCATCATTTTTGTGACATTGTTCAACAATTATATGTATATATTTACCGTACTGTGAGGGTTGGGCTTAAGTTTGGGGTAGACCTTAATAAAATACTGTTTACTGGGTAATTTAATAAATGATACGAGTATATTACTGCTTTTACACTGTGAAGGTTGGGGTAGATGTTAATAAAATGTATTTCATTCAAATTTTATGGGTATTGTAATACATAATCTAAACTATATGATAACAATAATATTAATTCCTCACATCTATAAAGCGCTTTTCTGGGCACTCAAAGCGCTTTACACACATTAAGGGGAATCTCCTCATCCTCCACCAGTGTGCAGCATCCACTTGGATTAGGCGACGGCAGCCATACTGCACCAGACTGCACACCAGCTGATTGGTGGAGAGGAGACAGAGTGATGAAGACAGTGATGATATGGGGATGGTCAGGAGGCCATGATGGCCAGAGGCCATTGGGCAGATTTGGCCAGCATGCCAGGGTTAAACCCCTACTCTTTTTCCAAGGATATCCTGGGATTTTTAACGAGCACAGAGAGTCGGGACCTCGGTTTAACGTCTCATCCGAAAGATAGAATGGTTCACTTGTATCGCTTGTTGCAAAAATGTTTTCAATTATTTTCTTAAATTCATGAATGAAAATATACAATTACAATCAGGAGATCAATATAAGAGAGATACAAGAGAGGGAAAATACAAGTGACATTAACGGCAGGTAATGTCACCTGTAAATAAACGGGAAAAATAAACAGGGGGGCTAATAATTCTGACTTCAACTGTAATAACAAAAATCGGACACATTTTTTGTTGTTGCACATACAGAAGGATTTAAGCAGTCAACTTCAATCAGAAAATGTGGAAAACAAAAATTCCTAACAAAATAAAAAAGATAAAGATAAAGTCTTCAGATTCATGTGCAAAATCTATGTAATAATAAATAATTTATTTTAAACTTAAAGATAGGAGGAGTGTTTAAATAATAATGCAAGTCAAACCAAAACTTCACACATTCACACATACAAAATAAAAGTTTTACAGTTTCATCATCCTTACCACAAACTGGAGAACGACTCGGAATATCAACATATTTGTAAATAAATGAGATTTTTATTGCAGTATTTTAAAATGCCTTTATTTTTATTAGGAAGAAAGTATTTATAAGGCAACAACCAAGCTTTTCTCCAGTCTACATTATTAACTAATGCAACCCAACAGAATCTGCCTCACAGAACAATACGATGACTTTGCTGAGGAATTAAATGGATCTGTTCATTCATTCATTTCCTTTTCGATTTATTCCCTTTATTAATCAGGGGTCGCCACAGTGGAATGAACCGCCAACTTATCCAGAATGTTTTACTCAGCGGATGCCCTTCCAGCTGCAACCCGTTACTGGGAAACATGCATACATTCTCATTTACACACACACACACACACTCGTACACTACGGCCAGTTTAGTTGATCAATTCCCCTAAAGCGCATGTGATTGGACTGTGACCCAGCCGGGACTTGAATCAGTGACCTTCTTGCTGTGAGGTGATTGTGCTACCCACTGTGCCACCGTGATGCATAAATGATTATGTTTATTATTTTAATGTATTGTATATGACTATTGCCCAGATGCATTACACCAGTGGGGATATCTCTACGAACAGTATTATAATCTCTGAAGTGAGTAGGAAAGTCACGAACAGTCATAAAGCGTTCATAACACAGTAAGTTCCCCAAATCATCAAGTACAGAAAATAATCACTTGTAACAACAACTGCTGGCTGCTGGGATTGACGTCATTTTTGGAAGGCGCGTGCTGCTGGCTCTGACGTCACTCTCGGAACACGCGCGGGTTCTTTTAAACCGTCATTTCTCTGTCGGATTATCAAACTTACATTCCACTTTACTGCTGTTTTCACTGTTTCCCAGCGCGCGATGGCGAAGACGATTGCGAGAACTGCGAGGTCCATCGCGGCCCAGATAAACGAGTGCTGCTCCTACATCCACAGCAAATACCAGCAGCTGCAGGCCTTCCGCCGACAAGTCAAACGGAGGACCAGACCCAAGCACTGGGACTGGATAGAAGACTTCGAGCTCGAGCACGAGCTGCGCTTCCCCACCCGCGGGCCCCGGAGCCTGCTGAAGCTGCGGAACCTGCAGCAATTCCTGCGGGAAACCGAGCAGAACTGGTGGGACTTTCGGCCTCCGCGGGTGCCCGGGAGACCGCACCGCGTGTTGCGGATAAACCTCCAGGACCGGCCGATCAAAGCCCTGCTGAGCACCGAGCTTTTCCCTCCGAAGCCCGTAGACCGCACAGAGAGACACTACTGCCGGAAACTGCTGCTGATGGAGCGGCCGCTGGAGATCAGCTTACCGGCAGACATACTGGAGGAGATCCGTGCGCTGGAGCATCTGGAGGAGGAGCAGGGGCTACCACCACACCTGCACTGCTCATCCGGTCAGGAGGACTATTATTCCGCGGATGAAGAGTGAACTTTAATATAAACATTTTATATTTATTAAATAAATAAATAAAATGAGTACAAACAACACAATTCTTTATTTTTTGACAACTTAGTTGTTTTATCTTCAATCCACTTAAATTTGTAAACACTAAGTTAACTTAATTGATTTGTGTTGTAACAACATGGAGGAATTGTAGATTCCTAGAACTCAGCATATTTTTACAGTGTTTTGTCTTTACTTTTATCTTTGTACTCACAATGTCATCCAATGTTATTCTTAGCTGTTCAAATGAATTGCTTAAATACACTCACTGGCCACTTTATTAGGTACACCTTACTAGTGGACCGCTTTTTGCCTTCAGAACTGCCTTATTCCTTCATGGCATAGATTCAACAAAGTACTGAAAATATTCCTCATTGATTTTGGTCCATATTGACATGATAACAAGCAGTTGCTGCAAATTTGTGAGCTGCACATCCATGAAGCGAATCTCTCGTTCCACCACATCCCAAAGGTGCTCTATTGGATTGAGATCTGGTGACTGTGGAGGCCATTTGAGCACAGTAAACTCATTGTCATGTTCAAGAAACCAGTCTGAGATGCACTTTATGACATGGCGCGTTATCATACTGGAAAAAGCCAACAGAAGATGGGTACACTGTGGTCATAAAGGGATGGACATGGTCAGAAACAATCAGGTAGGCTGTGGAGTTGACATGATCATCAGTTGGTACCAATGGTGTGCCAAGAAAATATCCCCCACACCATTACACCACCACCAGCCAGAACCACAAGGCAGGATGGATCCTTGCTTTCATGCTGTTGATGCCAAATTCTGACCCTACCATCTGAATGTCGCAGCATTCTGTCGCAGACTCATCAGACCAGGCAACGTTTTTCCAATCTTCTATTGTCCAATTTTGGTGAGCCTGTGTGAATCGTAGCCTCAGTTTCCTGTTCTTAGCTGACAGGAGAGGCACCTGGTGTGGTCTTCTGCTGCTGTAGCCTATTCGCTTCAAGGTTTTGTTGTGCGTTTAAAGATGCTCTTCTGCATGTCTCAGTTGTAACGAGTGGTTATTTGAGTTACTGTTGCCTTTCAATCAGCTTGAACCAGTCTTGTCATTCCCCTCTGATCTCTGGCATTTGCGCTCACAGAACTGCCGCTCACTGGATGTTTTCTCTTTTTCGAACCATTCTCTGTAAACCCTAGAGATGGTTGTGCGTGAAAATCCCAGTAGATCAGAAATGCTCAGACAAGCCCGTCTGTCACCAACAACCATGCCACATTCAAAATCATTTAAATCACCTTTTTTCCCCATTCTGCTGCTCGGTTTGAACTGTAGCAGATCATCTTGACCATGTCTACATGCCTAAATGCATTGAGCTGCTGCCATGGGATTGGCGATTAGAAATTTGCGTTAACGAGCAGTTGGACAGGTGTACCTAATAAAATGGCTGGTGATTGTATGCAATAATTGTTTTTTTAAAACCACAATATCCTGCACACTGATACCAAACACAACATGCCGGTTAATTGTGTGATCAGCAAAGGTTTATGACTATGTGTTTTCAAAAGTGTCTGAACAAGTACTGGTGAAATGTACTCTTTCTGTGGTCTATTAACGGGAGGTACTGAACTTCATTGGCACCTTATTTAATTTGCTAAAGTACAGAGCAATTGACTGAGAACAGACCCATAATACTGGTTGCAGTGAGTAATAAATGAACTAATGTCTGTTGTGACATTTGATCATAATGACATGGATAATAGAGCAGTCTGCCTGGATGAATATTATTCATATACGCTAAATATTTTTTATCTTTTCATGCCTCACTCTGTTTAACATCTGTTGAGCCGGCTATTTATGTTCATCAATATAAATGTGCTTTTGGTGTCACTCTCAGTGCTTTATTCATTACTTTGAATTTTTATTTCAACATAGTGTGTCTGTATAATGTATATAAACTGCAGTCTTCTCAAATGTATTTAAATAAGAATCACCCAAACATACCTCATCATGACCAGTATAAGATGACTTAAAGGAATAGTTGAACAAAATGGAAGATATACTGAAGAATGTTGGCGAAACACTGAGATCCATAGTATTTTGATCCTACTAAAGATGTGAGTGGCTTTTTTCTCCCAACATTCTTCACAATATTTTGTTTTGTAAAATTCATCACATCACTTGAGTGCCAGTACATTGAGAGGACTTTCCATTCTTGTGTGAACTATCCCTTTAAATGCCATAAATACAACTTTTAATTTTAAAGATGTGGTGTAGATGTTGAAACGGCAGGTCATTAATTGCTTTAGTGTTTTTTTTTTTACTTAAAATAATTTATAGCCGACTTAACTTATCTTGCTTTGAGGTGTTACCATAATATTAAAGCATAGAAAATTCTAATCAAACTGAAATAATACACCACACAATACAATATTCAACCTTTTATTAGGTTTATTAACATCTGGAATTTTATTCATTTTAATAATTGACTTCATGTTTCTTTTCATAAAAATATATAATAAAAGCTAATTCAAGTTTTTTTCATCCCAGCATGTATCCAGGGAAATATCCCATAACCTACTACTGTATCTAAAATAGACAATCAGGAACATTGGAATAAAAAAGTTTGAGATCTGGTGCAAATAAAGAACATAGACTATTTTTAAATGTCACTGACTGCAGATGGATGTAGATTTTCTTAAAGCCTACAGAGTTAGCATTTGAGGCAGGCATGCTGCGGTCTAATACACTCATCCCTGGTACATACAGTCCCATATCCAGTCTGGTTGAAGGGGAGTTTTTTTTTTCTTACAAAGTGTTTCTTTTTGTAGTTCTATGCTTCATTTTCTATTTAATTATGAGAATAAAATATTGAACTTTAGTGACATTTTAAGATGAATTAGCTTGTCTGATCATCATCATAACAAAATTTTTTGATATACCAAAATATTTCTTAAAGAGTTAGAATGAAGCAATGTAAAATAATACTTATTACATCATTTATGATTAGAAACAAATAAAAATCTGTTAAAGTTTTTATTTAAAAACTGTAGTCTGTTGCCATTTATTAGGTAAATAAAAAACTGAAATTCAACTTGCCTCAGTCAGAATTTGGCCATTTGAATAAAAAAATAAAACATAATAATAATATCAACAATAATAATAATAATAATAATAATAATAATAATAATGGCGCTGTGGTGGCGCAGTAGGTAGTGCTGTCACCTCACAGCAAGAAGGTTGCTGGTTCGAGCTTCGAATGGGTCAGTTGGCATTTCTGTGTGGAGTTTGTATGTACCAGGTGCTCTGGTTTCCCCTACAGTCCAAAGACATGCGGTGCAGATGAATTGGGTAAGCTAAAATTGTCTGTAGCATATAAGTGTGAATGACAGTTTATGGGTGTTCCCCAGTGATGGGTTGCAGCTGGAAGAGCATCTGCTGCGTAAGATATATGCTGGATAAGTTGGTGGTTCATTCCACTGTGGCGACCCCAGACTAATAAAGGGACTAAGCCGAAAAGAAAATGAATGAATAAATAATAATAATAATAATATCAATAATAAAAGTAATCATATTATTATTACTATTATTATTATTAATGTAGAGCTTCACAATTTCTTCAAAAATCTTCTCTTGTAAAAGGTACATTCGAAAATTTATGAATAACAACATAAGCCAAAATAGTATTCAAATCAATTTCAATATGTTTAGCTTTTGTTTCTTCACACATTTTATTGCTAATTTTTGTTTCAAGAATAAGATCCAAGATTTAGAATAAAAAAATGTTCTCCATTTAAAAACAAATGCAGTAGTGAAAGATGACTTCTCTTACAGCAGATTGTAAAATGAACATTTTTGTTAGCGTTGACCAAAACGGATTACACACCGAATTGGCAACAGAGCCAACAGAGGATTCCGTTTGGTCTTAAGTTTTTTTTATATGGGTTATTTTCACTATTTATGATGACATAGCAGTCAAAATAGGACAACCGAGCTCATGTATGGGGTCAATACTAGACCTCTGTCAGAGAGGGGTGGGTCTTCTGAACCACCTGCACCCCCCATGGCTACAGGCCTGACATAGTTTGCCACTTTACCTTATTCTGTTATCCGAAGAGGAAAAATGAAAAAACATATGCTGAATAGGTTGGCGGTTCATTCCACTGTGGCGACCCCTAATTAATAAAAGGACTAAGCCAAAAATGAACGAATGAACATTGGAGTATTCTTTTGACTTGTTTTTTAAAAAAATAACACACACACACACACACACACATAAACACAAACCAAAGTATATGCTGCACATTTCAGTATTCACATATTTTGTTTTACTGTAAGAAACTGAAAATTACCAATAAAAATATGAATTATTATCTTTTTAAAATAAGCTGGTTTCACCCTCTATTCTAAAGAGGGTGGAATGTGCTTCTGTTTAATTAATCTGCATGTATTTTGGCTAGTTTCCACATTCTTTAATGCAATTTACCCTAAATATACTGCATTTTTGACTTAGGCTCATTCATTCACTGACTAATTTTCTTAGCTTAGTCCTTAAATCCATCAGTGGTCACCACAGCAGAATGAACAGCCAACTTATCCAGCATATAATTCACACAGCGGATGCCCTTCCAGCTGCAACCCAGTAGGCAACTGGGAAACATCCATACACATTCATTCACACACATACACTACGGCCAATTTAGTTTATTCAATTCACTTAGCACATGTCTTTGGACTGTTTGGGGGAAACCGGAGCACCCGGAGGAAACCCACACAAACACAGGCAGAACATGCAAACTCCACACAGAAATCCCAGCCGGAATTTCGAACCAGTGACCTTCTTGCTCTTAGACAACAGTGCTAACCACTGAGCCACCGTGTCGCCCTTGCCTTAATCTGTTTTATATTTGTTTCTCTTCTGCTTTTATTTACAATCATTTTTAAATATGAATTATAATGTGACACTGTATGTGTGATATAAGTGCATATATAGGCCTATTTAATAAAACACATCTAATAAGGTGCTATTCTTGCCCTGCTACTTACTTTCACCTAAAGATCCACATGCAGACAAAGAAAGCCTGTACTGAAGCTGACAGTAACATTAGTAAGCAGAACAGACAGACTCAATAATAATATTATGAAAAATCAAACTGAAGACTAAGAGCCAATGTATTTATCTGTTTTTTCATATCACCGCAAATGTATTGGATCAAACCTCTGGCTTGCCACCAACTGCTGTCGTCACGGCCAGCGCCTCGTGCTATTTCTCATGTCAATCAGGCAACACTGACATCTGCCGGTCGGTTTGATAAATGTCGGATATTATTAAAAAACATACGTTAACAAAGACAGATGGACTACATTTGAATTTAAATATGATATAAAAAGAAATTAATGACAAAATGGCCAGATGAAATCATCACCTGCTCATTGTTATAAGAAGAAGAAAGTCACTTTTATTATGCACGCGGCGCCCGTGCGTAAGAACAGCGTGCGCGTGCGTCAAAGAGGAAGAGTCGTAAGTCTCTCCAAAATGGCGACGACCATAGAAAGTGGCAATGCAGGAGCTGCAAATAAGAAAAAACACCTCGGAATCCCTGAAGCAATATTTGTGGTCAGTGCGAAAGGGATATATAGTTAATTTTCATGTCCATGCTGTCGACATGTTTCTGTCTGTGTTGGTTTGTTCGTCTTTAAACGGCTTTAAGTAAGAAAGCGCCTTGTTCTTCTCCTTATAAGGGTGCAGGGATTGCTTGCTCATGTCTTGAATGTGAGCTTTGAGTGACAGAGAACATGTGAATAACTGGCTCTCAAAAACCGCTTTGTTAATTATAAGCCTTAATTAACCAGATGTGAAACACATTGTGTGTTCTGTAGGAAGATGTGGACGCCTTCATGAAGCAGCCGGGCAATGACACAGCAGACGCCGTGCTGAGGAAGCTGGATGAACAATATCAGAAATATAAATACATGGAGCTCAATCTGGGGCAGAAGAAACTCAGGTTTGGTTTTGATCTGTTCTACGTTGTGCTGTAAAAAGAAGTCAATCTTTCAGTCACAAATTACAATAAGATTTCATTGGGTAATGTATTTACTGACACAACCAATGATTAACAACACTTGCACAGCATTTATTGATCATAGTTCTACATAAATGTACTAATGCATCAATAACATCCAAATTTATGCTTAATATTAGTTAATGTATCGTGAGTTAACATGAACTAACAATGAACAACTGTATTTTCATGAACTACTGTTAACGAACATCTAATACTGTCATAAATGTATGTTTCATTGTTTGTTTATGTTAGTATATGCATTAACTAATAAAACCTTACTGTAAAGTGCTCTGGATAGCATGCGTATATGTGGCTACAAGTTGTTTTTGCAGACTATAATTGTTGACATTTTTTCCCTCTGTTTCAGGTTGAAAAGCCAAATTCCACAAATCAAACAGACATTAGAAATCCTACGGCACATGCAGAAAAAGAAGGTAAGCTCATTTCTTAATTAATGGTGATTTAAAAAGAAAATTTGTCTCAAAATTGCTTCACAGAAACAAATCAAAGTTCAGTCTAAAATTACTTAAAATGATTTCTCAAAGTTATTTACTGCTTTTAGGATTTCTTTCATGTACTCCTTGTGAGAAGTATATATATATATATATATATATATATATATATATATATATATATTTATATATATACTTTTTTTAATAAATGTATATAAATATTTTTTTTGTAGTGTGTTGCAGAAGAGCAGTCACATATTAGATCACGTGTCATAATTGTGTCTTTAACATACACATAAATGTGTCTATTCATCATAAACTGGCCTGTCAATCAGCCTGTCATTTAAAGTCAGTCTTTTTCTCTATACATGTTATAGATCTTTTTGTGCTCTTTTGCTTCTAGGGCTGTGTAATTGAGGGGAAAAATGAACATTTCAATATTTTATTTTTCATCTTTGTAAACAAATGATCTTAATACAATAAATCATATAAGCATAATTAAGGTGATTTTGTTTTTTAATATTATAATATTAACAGAGGTTTTTTAATATTATAATCAAAAACAAATTATTACAATACAGTAAGATAGTTATGAAATTCGCCCTAAAATTACATTTTAAATGATAAATTTTTGAGATGCAGCAAGTGTATTGTTCTGCTTCACCAGAATTCCTCTTTATTTATTTTTATTTATGCATATCAAATCAAAGGACACCACAGATCCCATGGAGACACATTTTCTGTTGGCTGATAACGTCTACTGCAAGGCCTCTGTTCCACCTACAGATAAAGTGTGCTTGTGGCTTGGGGTAAGTGTTGAATGTTGAGTCCTGATGCATTTGATGTGAGCATGAAATCAAAATAATTATTATCTATCAAGATAATTATCTTTTAATTTAATGGTTTATTATAAGACCAAGTGTGGTACTGATTTTTGTTTTTTTACTACCCTGTGTCACTGCATTACATTATGAGCTGTGAAATCCTTGTTGTGTTGACTAAAACAACTGCTTTAAAAAGCATGTGTGAAAGTGTTGACGATCATTGCCTTTGTTTTGCTCTTTTGTACTGCTTATGAACTCATGAAACCTCTTCATCACTTGTAGCGTACCGGGTTCCCACATGTCTTAAAATTACTAGAATTTTATAATGTTTATTCCAGATATTGTCAGTAGGGATGTAACGATATTAAAACCGACCCGAAATATCACAATACACCAACCACGATACGTATCTTGAAACTCGTGGCATACCGCGATATTCTTATGCCCCCTGCTGCCCATTGTTGAGGTTGACATCACTTGTCTCTAACTAATTGAACCAATTTAAACATATTTATCACATTTGATTAAATTGTTTTAGTAATGATGAGCTTTTGTTTTAAATATTATATTCTTAAGTTAGTATTTTCCAAGTGCATGTCATGTGATGTGACTTAAGAAAGCATCACACTCAGTTACTACTGTATGCAGGATGGCTGCTTCACACAGTACTGAGATTCCAGATCCCCCAGACACATTTAAGTCATCTGTGTGGGAACATTTTGGTTTTCCAGTGGAGTACTGGAATGGAATTTGTGTCGTAGACAAAGCACACGTCTATCTATCGTAACTGTTTCACAACTTACACAAAACCTCACAATGTGAGGGTGTAAGCAACAGAACTGCCAACTAAAGTGATTTAATCTACAAAAGTGAAACCAGAAAAATGCCCAAATATATACAAAAAAGAGAAATATTTACACTAATAAAAATAATATAATAAAGTAGCAAATTCAAACAAAGGATCAAACAAAAATGAGTTAAACTTGAGTAAGGGGACAATTGTGAAGCCAAGCAAAAGAAAGAAATATAACAAAACAATTTTAACTCATGAATAACCGCTCTTAACTTGCTAAAACTGATGAAAAGATAAAAAGGTCTTCAGCGCAGTGCGCCGCAGTCTTCCCTATACTGTACTGTAAAATAAAATAAATACAAAGATGATCTTTACCTCTTACCTGATGTCTTTAACAATACATTTTCAACGTGTTTGCAAAATGGAAATCGTATGACATCTTCCCTATCCACCTTACTCTGAGAAAAGAGTGAACTTGAGTAGGTAAACCTCAGTATTGTTGGGAAGGAGCCAAGGCAAAAAATAACATACAAATCAATTGAAATAAAAATATAAAAACCTCACAAAATTTCTCAACGTGGGCAAAAGTAATGCAAAATAATTTTGCCCAAACGAAAGTTAAGCAAAAACAACAAAAATCATAATCGTGTCAGAAAATGCACGAAAAACGAGATCAAAGGAAAAAGCGCTTTCTCTCCCGCTCTTCCCGACATGCTTTTTATATTCCCGCGCTTTGTCGCCAAATGATGATAGATCGGTCTCCTGACCAATCAGCTGTCATAAAGGCGGACCTACAGAAATAACCAGCATGGAGGGAGCAGGAGAGAGAAAACGGGAGGCAAAAATACAGCCGACTACAACTCTAACATTAGTTTCAGACACAACTGCAATGTATTTTACTGGTGAATATATCATGTAAAAACACTTTACAAACACATTTTATGTATATATTTTTTCATTAATTTAAACGGAAAGCTATCTATCTAACTGAAACCTTAGATAATCAAAAATGAGCATCATGTCTGTGTCTGCACAGAGATCAAGACTCTCACCTGAGAATGTGGATATTACTTTCACTAGTCTACACTGCAGTTATTTATTTAATTTTAGTTTACTTAGTTAAGATGGCTGCACTTAAGAGAATAGTTTTTTCTGACTAGTCTATATTGGAGGTGTTTAGTTAATTTTAGTTGTTTACTCTGGTATTCTGACTGTACTAAAAATGTGATGACAAACTTAATAATGAAAAAGTTAAGATGTTCTTGTTAGTAAGTGAATCTATTGTACCTTAGCATTGCTGTTAACATGACATCAACCCTAACTCCACAGCAAACAGAAACCGAACCGAACCGTACCAAACCAAACCGTGGCTTTAAAACCGTTAACCGAACCGTGCCTTTGGTGTATCATTACACCCCTAATTGTCAGGAGATTATTATTATAATTTTTTGTCCAGCTCATGAAATTTCAGCGATTTAGATTATTCCATTGGATAATGCATTATTACGATTAGGCAGTTTTAGCTCCATTTGAATTCTTTCATTCTTATAAACCGGTCACCAGACTGTATCCTTAACCAAGAATAACTTACCAGGATAATATACAATTTAAGAACTTTGGCTCCAAAATAACCACTGGGTTATTTCAAACACTGGGTGGTTAAAAAGTAGATAAAAGAAAAGCTTAATGTAATGTAATGTTTTTAAAAAAGCAGGTAAATGATGATGCTAAATGAAAATATTTTAATATTAATATTTTAACACATCAATAATCTAATATATACAAGAGCTGCCTGTTTTTGCATATATTAGATGTCATGGAAATCAAGCTTTCTAGTCAGTAAAAGTCAGGGAATTACATTAAACTTGATTACTTTTTTGCACTGTTGAACAAGGCACTCTACCTTTGGGACTGTCTGTTTAGTGAAATGTACACCCAGTTGCTTGGATATAATATTTTAACCCAGAATTGTTTAGCTTGACTTTGAAATCTTGTGTATAGCCATGGTTGGTGTTTTTGTGTGCTAGGCTAATGTCATGTTGGAGTATGACATTGATGCGGCCCAGGCGCTGTTGGAGAAAAACTTGGCCACAGCGTCCCGGAATCTGGACTCTCTGGAAGAGGATCTGGACTTCCTTAGAGATCAGTTCACAACCACTGAAGTCAGTATCCTTAAACTATTGCAAAAGGACAGATTCAGGTATTGTATTGTTATTTTTATGGTGATGTGCACCTTTCATTTGATCAGTCTTTCAATGACATAAATTGTTTAAAATAATACCTTTAAAATTATAACTTGTGAGATTAAGAGTCCCGATCCTACAACAGTTTGTCAAAGCTGTTTAAAAGTCTAGGTCGGAAATATATTTTAATTTTTTTAAAATAGAGCCTTATGGTAACAAATAAAATAAAATAATGGCAAAATAGTAATTTTTCTAAAAAATAAACCGTAAATAACAATTTCTTTGTTTTGATATATATAAAGAAATAATTAATCTAATACAATGTAAGACAATCTTCATTGTGATACGAAGGCTAAATGAAGATATTCTGCCTTATGACATTTGTATATATTTAGTGGTAACGCTTTTTTAAATGAGTTCTTTTTGAAACATTATTTTCTATTTAAAACGTTTTTTGTTTTTATTGTTGATGCTTTGGTAAATAAAATGTAAACATAAAATAAAAATTAAGTTGAACCATGGTGATATGCATAAAGGGTAAACTATTTGGAATTGACATTTTAAAGCAGTATTTGATTTGTAGGGGTCTGAGTTATAACATCTGCCTAGAAACCTCCCTGAAATGTTTTAAAGAAGTTCAATTAAGTCATTATTTAGATTAAATATGTTTATTTAGAGCAGGGGTGCTCAACCCTGTTCCTAGAGATCTACCTTCCTGCAGATTTCAGTTGCAACCCTTATCCAACACACCTGTTTGTAATTATCAAGTGCTGTTCAGGTCCTAATTAATTGGTTCAGGTGTGTTTGATCGGGGTTGGAGCTAAACTCTGTAGGAACGTAGATCTCCAGGAAAAGGGTTGAGCACCCCTGATTTAGAGTTTACTTATAGCTGCGCACATTCTCCCATCAAGTTTTTTTGTAATAGTTCACAAATTGTAGCATAGGAATTGGTGTACGGCCATTTCCGCCCATTTTGTGCATACAACAACATTTCTTAACAAGACTCTGGAGAGTGTTCATAAGCCATCAACCATTAAAAGTGAATCAAGAAGATTTAGCATTGAGGGTTACAGAAAATGATGTCACCCTGTTCTTGGTAATGATACTCATGACCAAACTGGTTTGTTCTACATGCCCACTAAAACATTGTTTGAACAGATGTTATTGTACAGTATTAATAAGTGAAATGTTCTAAAGACAATTCTATTGGTTCTATTGTCACAGGCCTTGCTGAAATTATAGAGAGCACATTAAACGGATAGTTAGCCCAAAGATGGAAATGGAAATTTACTTGCACTTAAATGGTTTTAAACCTTTACAAATCTGTTTTTTTTGTTCAACACAAAAGGAAAACAATAGTAATAAAAAACTATAATAGTAAATGGCTCAAACAGGTTTGGAACAAGATCAGATTTTTAATAGTTAGTCAGGTATTTGTAGTACATCTGTAAATTTCTCTGAAGAAAACAGACTGTTTGTCACCTGTTCTCACCATCTGTTGTAAACTGTTAAGAGGGAGCTTTGTTGAAAAGTCTTCTCTCAAATATTTACAATCTGTTCTTCCAAGTGGTGAAGTAACAAGGAAAAAAGCAGAGACGACTTTAAGATTTTTCAGATCCACCTTAACCGATGCTCTCTCAGATATGGCACGTGTTTACAATTGGGATGTCAAGAGAAGGAGCAAAGACAACCTCCTCAAATCTGCTGAGCGGTCCTAGTGTGATCAATCCCTTCCCCATCAGAAGATTCACCCCCATGTATCTGTTTGCACCAACATCAACTGTTATCTATTGATTTATTACTTTTTAAACTATTTTTTCAAGTAAAAAGGTGAAGAAAAAAATCAAACAAAAGTAATAACGGTAGTTTTCTTGTTTTGTTTTTTATAATGATTTCTAAGTTTGTTTCAGATAGGGCATCTCCTCACAGGGTCTATACATCGTCTTCCTCTGTGCCCTTTTTCTTCTTTCAGATCTGTTAAAGCTAAACTGTTTAAAATCTTACCATATCTTGGTAAGACTCTGTAAAAAAAACTGCAGCAGATTGTCAGGGGGATGTCATTTCATTTATCCTCCTTTCTTCCTCCAGCCTTTTCTGAACTTTTACTCCTCTCATGTGTTTTTCATCTGTACTCATTTCTCAAACTGTAGCCATTAAACGCTGAACAAGGAACTAATAATGAAGTGATTTGGGAAAAGGCACAAAGCATATGATATGGTCTGTGTTTTTAATCTGCATAGCTTTTTATAATTCATCGTCTGAGTGTGGGTTTGGCAGTGAGCGAGATGAATACCCTTTGATGAGTACAACTAATTAAATACGTGCCTGCAATTTCGGCCCTTTCTTTCAATCGCTTGTGCTGAAACTGCTACTTTTCTCTTTAAATTCTGCTTTCAGTTCTTCTTTAGCAGAGCAACAGCTGAACTTATAATAGCAGCATTGAACTGCAAATAGACCTTTATGGTATGAAGAACCTAAAAAATTCATTATTTTACTTACCTTCTAACCATTCAAGATATATGTGGAAATATTTTTCAGTAGAACATTATAGAACTTGTTTAATTGAGACTGTTGTCCTTGGCCAGTCACACAAACAAAAAACATAAAACAAAGTATAATTGCTGGCAGCACTTATATGGATGGTTGTATGCAAGACACTGAACATTCACCTTTAACCGTTACAATATACTTGTTTTAAAGTCATAAGAGTTTAAACGTCTTGTATTACCATTTATAACACTCAAGGTCATTTTCAATGAGTTTTTTCTTCTTCTACTAAGCGACTTACAAAGGTTTTATCCACAGCCTTGGTAAATGGTCCTAACACTGGAGCTCAAGCATCCTGTCATATGATGAATAATTAACATCAGAAATCTGTCAAATTAATTTCTTGAATATTGAGATGCTTTGAAACATAATGGTCTAGCATAGATAATAATCAAAAGCCAGTACCCTATTGAACAATACAACATACATGGACTCATTGTAAACACAGAATCCGCTCGCATGTGAGTTTGCATCCCTGCCTAAATCATTATTCAGGATGAGTTTCATGAATATGTGTGGGATCGTTTTTACAAAGTTGTGAAATAAAGGTAACAATGTTCAGTTTCTTGCACACACTAAGACGGCTGACTTTAATTTTGTAAACAACAAAGGATCTATACTTTTGGTAACTTCAGGGTGAGAAATTTAATGTGATACTTCTCCAAAAAATGAAAATTATTTTTGATTATATTTGTTTATAAATTTATATATATATATATATATATATATATATATATATAATCATCTTGTTGTTGCATTACTTTGAGCTTTTCATTCATCTTCAGAACACAAATTAAGATATTTTGGATGAAATCTGAGAGCTTCCTCCATAGTCCACAACAATCATAAAATGTTACAGTTCAGAAAAGGAATGAAAATATTGTCAAAAACAGTAAGTTTGACACCCAGTGGTTGAACTAGGTATTGCACACTTGGATCAAAACACATTTTCACTTCGCCCCTTCCTCTGACGAGACCACGCAAGTGCAGGTTGCCAGATTGACATGAGTGCGCCTGACTGTCAAGCCTAAAGACCAATTTAAGACTGATTTAAACAGTTTTCTAACTAAAAGCAACGTCACGCGATAGAAGGAATATTTTCCATACTATTTTCCATACTACCTGAAATTTCTATTTTAGAAACGGCTTCTATTTCTCACAGGTGAACAACGATCACCTCAGGTACAGCTCATGTGCTTTATTCAGTGTTAAATGCTAATAATGTGAGATTGAATACCCTTTTACATGACAATTATTGCCATACTACTGAAAGCAGCAGCAGCAGATAGTTCACCATTAAAACTGTAAAGCAGTGCAAACCAACACATATTAGTGATTTAGCATGCACATTTAATAATGTAAAAGAGGTTAAATATGTATTAATTAGATTATAAGCCTTACAAATTCACTGTAGTGCAGTGAGTGCACTATTCTGTGCTTCTGAATGGCTGTATTTACATTTCTGTCATGTTTTTGTCTGGTGCAAACAGCCAAATTGCTTATCACTGCGAATCTCGTCACATAGGGTTTTGTTTGGACATGGGGTTACAATGTAACCTGCTCACCTAATGTTTACGTCTTATATACATGTATAATGTATATACATTAATATACATGTGTGTATATATATATAATTTGCTAATGAATAACCAACTCATATGGAACTCTAAGTTTGCGTCTCTTTTTGAAAGCTGTTACTGTTCACTAAAGTTGCACTTTCGGTCGTGGCCACATGCTTTGAGAGCCTTCCTGACTGACTGACTGAAGGAAATACACGTCCACCAAACTGGCATTGGGCAAGTTAAAAGAACCAAAACAAAAACAGCATTTCAGCATGTATAGGCACATTTTCAAAGCAGAATATCTGACTTTAGAATTGTTTATCAGAGAAACTACAATGTTCACTTGACATGTTTATTAAATACCTGCAAACATATTATGCTATTTTTATGCTTTAGAAGAGTCAAAAACTTACATACAGCACCTTTATTGATAGGAGTCTCCAAGAAAACTTTTGTGCACCAAAAACCATAAAAAGGATTGTTTACCTATATCCTCTCTCCCATCAGGCTGCCATTAGACTAAGCACTGCAACGTGCACGCATATTGGACAGTGTTAACTTGCATCCTGATCTGAATTGGACAACAGGTGCAAGAATTATTTTAGTATGAAGTTAAAGGGAATGTTTTGGTTCTTTTTCTGGACTAAAAGGTCTCAGGATCATTGCTTTCTAAGGAGAATGAGGGAGCTCAAATTTCATTCTAAGATTTTTAATTTGTGTGTCGAAGATGAGTGAAAGCCTCAGGAGATTGGAACAGCAGAAGGGTGAGAAATTAGCAGAATTTAAATTTTTAGACCAACTGTCTATTGAATCAACTATCACTTTAAATTCCTTTCGCTAGTGAGTGGAACGTTGATCAACCGAAATACAACCGAAACAGTTTTAACATGTTACTTTAATCGTTATTACATTTCAAGTTCCCTTGATACAGAGGTACAAGGTGTCTCAAATTCACTAAAACAGAGTCAGTAGTGTTTGTACATCCAGTCCTTGCAAATCCACATCTGCGCCAAAAAAAGCTTACAGAGTGAGCGAGTGAGTGGCCAACCCAATCCGAAATCTTGCGGTCCTTCCCTGAGACCCTGTTTCAGCAATATTTTAAAAGGATTTCATGTTGTCCAATAAAGAGATGGCTAATTGTGCAACGTTATGGACAGTACTGACACATCTTCTCCATTCGTATTTGAGAAAGCGGTTATGGGATTATTTATTTAGGGGTGAGAATGACAGTGAGGAGCTAGTCTTTTAGAAAAGGAAAGATGGTTTAGATGAATAAAGTAATGGTTAAATACATGGCGATGCAAGCTCTATTGATACAGATGTCTTGAGCGAATGTGTACAAGGAGAGCCCTCATTAGGGTTCTAGGAAGAGCTTGCTTTTTTCACATTAGATAGTACAATCACAAGCTGTAACATCAGAAACACTCTTTGGGATAAAAGGTGTAAAAGATGTACATAAGTACAACAGATTAAGGTTTCTTCATCATTCTGGCGAGCACCAGAGGCCTCTTGTGGTAATGCGTGATGAGTGAGATGGTTGTAAAACAATGCACCGGGGCTCTCGGATGTACCTTCAGTGGTTCTTCATGAGTCTTTGCATCCGATCATACAAATGAACCTTTTGGGTGACACGGTGAGCCGTCATCTGAGTGACACCTTTCCATCCACTTCAGTTAATTGAAAATCTAGTTGGAAATCAGTCAGAAACATGTCAGGTCATGTGTTTTTGAAAATTCTTCATGTAGTATATTGCAGTATATCTTCTCCCTTCCTTGTTCAGTCAACAGAAATGGCTATCCCAGCATTAATCTCAGAAATCAGTAAGAAAACTCTGGTTATTCAGTTCTTTCTCCTATTGTACACCCAAGTGCGAGATACTCAAAGTCAGAACGTCTTTGTTTTATCTTTCGTGGCTCAATACATCATGTGCAGATTCAATTAAAGTGCAGATACAGTTCTGGGCTTTTTTCAGTATCAGTTCTGCAATTGGTCATTTACTAACCGTCCGTTCTCAGCAGTCAGATTTCAGTGAATAGGGAAATAAGCAATGTAGTATAGAAAAGTGAAGCAACGGGGCATGATGGGACTCGATTAGGCATTCAGCAGGCAGGAAAGGGGTGATGATGACATATTCAGGGAGCTGAAGACTGACCCTGTAATTGGAGGAAGCGTTTATTTTTTTATTTGTCCATCAGGGCCTGAACGTTTGATAAGATACCAAGGTGATGATTGCGGATTCAACAGAAGCACCGGCGATCACCCTTTGTCACTTCTTCTGACGAATGCACCACGTTTGGTACGAACCCGCTCTTCACTCCCTCCCAGCCTTCCTGGATGCTAATCTCCCCATTCTTGACCAGCTCAAATATATCCCGCGTTAGCTCTGTAAAAGCCCTCTCCACGTTTATGGCGTCACGTGCCGAAGTCTCCACGTAGCGCATACCGTATGCGGCTGCAAGCTTCTCGGCCTCTTGCTGGCTCACCTGGCGCTGTGGTTCCAGATCACATTTGTGCCCGACTAGCAGGAAGACGATGCTGTGGGGCTGCACGTGACTGCGCGCCTCCTCTAGCCACTCGTGAACGTTCTGGAAAGAGCGGCGGTTGGTGATGTCGAAGAGCAGCAGGCCGCCCACAGAGTTACGGTAGTATGCTCGAGTAATAGACCTGTGACACAATAAAATAATGTTCCTGAATGTAAATCGAGGGTAAAGGAACACTCATCTTTTTTTCTCCTTTTTTTTGAGTAAATAGTCTCATTTTTTAAAACTCAGTAGAGTTAAACAGTTGAGTTTGACTATTTATTAATTCATTTAGCTGATCTTCGGGTCTGGCCAGAAGCACCTTTAGCTTAGATTAGCATAGATCATTGACTTGGATTAGACCATTTTGCACCTCTCATTTGAAAGTTTCAAAGAGTTCCCTACTGAAAAAAAATGCTTAAACCAGCCTAGGCTAGTTTAAGCTGTTTTTTTCAGTAGAGTTACAATAATATTCATATTTAAAGCTTGAGTATTCTGTGGTTACATTACCTTCTAAGACTGGCAAAAAAATTATGTTATTTACTTGATAAGACTAGATACTAGTGGTGTAATAATCAAGAAACTTTGCTATTACCTAGTTACCTCACTGGGAACTATTTTCGGGTGTTATTTTCAATATCATTGCTCCTGCTGCAGTCATTGTCTTGCAGCAAAATTCTTTGACTATAACGCTGAAATGGGAGTATACCGAGAAAATAGCAACTTCTCATTTTCTGTCTTAGTACACGAAAAAAAAATACTATATTCAATCGATTTGTGATGGGACAACATGAATGAATCAAGTTAGCTTGTTAGTAGTTACAAATTTAAGTGGACTAAACATTTGGACATTTGGACAGAAGTTTGTAGATATAGTGTAAACACAATCATATTTGGGTGATAAAAACACACGGTCCTTTTGTTTTCAATTTAACAACATAAAAACGGTGGACCAATTGGAGGGGTTTTCAGATCGACCCCAACATGACGTAGGAGTGTGGTCCCCCCGCCCACCGAATTGATTGATAGCTGCGTATTAACATGTCCTGGGAGTCAGGAGTATAATCATATCAACAAGACAGGTGGTGCGCAAAGCAACCGAGAATAAAAGGTCTGTTCAGTTTGCTAGGGTCATCAATCATCATCAGATGGGATCAAGAAGAGTGAGTTTCACAAGTTTCAAATGTTTTAAAACAGTGCATGTGTGTAATGAATTACAGCGATTTACTTCAGCTTTACTTCATCACCACGTGTCTGAACAGTTATAAAAGAAGACCTTCAATCCCGGTTTGTGGATGCTAAATCAGGTTATTTTGTACGTTAACATGACAGATATCCATACAGCTGTGGATATTAACCTGTATCCTGTCACATTTGCACTAAAGTGCGGTGTGTGTGTGTGTGTGTGTGTGTGTGTGTGTGTATCTTTGTGTGTGCGTGAACTTTGTAAGGACATTGTGTGTGACTTATTGTTGCAACTCCACAACAAATACATCAAATACTCATTGGTAAAGTTCTTACTGTATTTCTCACAAACCTTACATGAGATCTTCTTCCTTTAAGTCTGTTTGTTGTCTGAATAAGCCGAGAGAGGAGATTAAGGAATGCAGAAAGGCATGTAGAAACGGTGGGCTAGCAGGACTAGCCTTAAAGGCGCAGTACAACAAAACCACTACCTGATGCAAAAAGGTATAAAATAGAAACTTATAAAAGGTATAATAATAATAAATCTAATGGGTGTTTTGAGCTGAAACTTTACAGACACATTCTAGAGACACAAAAGACTTATATTAAATCTGAAAAAGGGGTAACCTAGGTGCCCTTTAAATAAGGACATTGTCAACTTTTTTGGACATTTTTGATTGAGATACTAATGGTCTAATCTAATTTAATGATTTATGCTAAGCTAAGCTAATCTGCTTAATAGAAGAAAAAAAAAAAAAGGTAAAACTGTTTTATTCTAAGGGAGTTGCAAAACGAAATGAATCCACCCCCCCTACCCAGGTCAAAAATAGAGTTCCTAGTTCCTTTTAGTAGAGAATGCATAATTACAATTGAATCACATAAAGAAGCAGTTAACTCACTTTCAAAATGTATCCTGATTGAACAACTCATGCGTTGAACAAATAAATCAAAACTTGTATAACTAGATCTTTCAATGTAATCACAGACTTCACAGCTGCATGCCAGATGTGTGATCATCATGCCTGCATAAATCCCATCCTTTATAACACATTTCTGCATGCAGAATAATCTTAAGTCAACTTTCAATTAAAAAGAGTAAAAAAAACCTACATGAAAGAAATCTATAGTACTTTATTGTAAACATACTGTAGTGTTTTTGCACAATACTAGAATTAATCTTGTGATAATCAACTATATGATATGTTATACTACAGTACACCACAGTTTACTGTAGTAGGCTACTACATTATGCTTAAGTATTTATTATATTTTATCAGTTCACTTAATACTAGAGTTTGCTTGAGCATTGATTAACAAAGTGTTGTAAATAAATAGTTGTGTACAGTATAATATACATTACTAAAGTATGGTTCTAAAACACTAGTATTTACTGTATTGTATTATATATTTGCTATTGGGTTTTTTCGTGTCGGAACAGATTTATTTAACATTTTTCCTTGGTAGCAAGTTGTGGACACCAAATGGCTTTTCTGAGGGAAACATGTTTGGTAACATACCTGCAATTATTAAAATGTCTTTCTATGACTAACAAACACTTTTAAACACTACTCTGGTGAATGAGACATGAATGCATGTTAATTGATAGGTAATCGTGATAGGATGCTAATATTATTTTCCAGAATCAAAAGTTTATTTTGATTTGGTGACTTGTGTGTGACAAGACTACTACTAGATAGACAGACAGAAAGAAAGAAAGAATTTCCCTCTATCTAGGAAATGAATCTGAGAAAGGTATTTGTGTGTATGACAGGAACAGAAAGAACAGAAAATGTAAAACTGCAATCAAAGACAGAGATGAAACAAGGTAGATGGAGGAAAAAAAGCGATGTAAAAAAAGCATCAGAGTGAGACTGTCAAAGAGGTCTGTGCTTGCAGGAGCACCGTTGGGAACACACTGAACTGTGAAGGATGCCGAAGGGCCTCTGGAGTTCCTGACATCACTTTAAGTTAGATGTGTGTGACACTGTGGATGCCAGTGATTCATCAAATCTTTTTATGTTCCTGTAGGAGTTCTGGTAAAACTTCTGTTCGGTGAAGAAGTATGTGGACTGCATTCATTCATTCACAAATATAGTTAGTATCTATGAATCACCCACTGTTAAAAAAGTATCAGTGTCATGTGAATATGCCATTAAGCCTGGGAGAACTAGATCATCATGGACACCTTGGAAACACCAATTATGCGTTTGGATAATAACTCCAGGTCAGATATGCACAATGATTTAAGTTAAGGGGCACATATTTGACCCCCTTTTCAAGTTTTAAGATAACTGTTTTGTGTCTGTAGAATGTGTCTTTAGAGTTTTGGCTCAAAACACCCATCAGATTATTTATTATACCTTTCTGAAGTTTGGAATTTTCAGCTTTGAGCATCTTGTAGCTGTTTTTGTGGCCTGTGCCTTTAATGCTAGTTCTCCCCACCCACCGTTCCCACGTGGCTGTCAGAGTGTGTCTCAATCTCTGCCTCGGCTGCGGCAGATAAACAGCACAGTGACAGACATGAAGGAAGCAGATCTGACGTAATGTTTGTGAGAAATACTACAGTAAGAACTTAATCAATGACTATTTTATGTATTTGTAGTGGAGTTGCAATGAGTCACACACAATGTCGTTACAAAGTTCACACAAACACACACACACAGCACGCACGTTTACATTTGCAGTTTTTGCATGGCAAATGTGACAGGGCACACATTAATATCTACTGCTGTGTAGATATCCATTGTGTTAATGTACAAAATAAACCTGATTTAATGTCCACAAACCCGAATTGAAGTATCTTCTTTTATAATTGTACTGACATGCGGCTGTGTCAGTTTTGAAACGAATTTTTGAAGCTGCGTCACGGTCATGACATAATAGCGTTGTATTCCAGCGTGCAGACTGGGCGTCTGTGCCAGAGTGTGTCTTATTAAGTCTTACAGTGTGATGCATTAATGCATGAGTAAGGCTTGGTTCAAACCAATCAGCACGCTCTATTGTGCAACTTCATTAATATTCATTACTGTCACAGTGTTTAGACGGCAGAGACGACACGTTGTGTTGGCAAAACAAGCGTGAAGTGTTGCTTTTATAGTTTGCTGCCGTTAAGTTTTGTTTTCATTTTCTCTCCGTGAGAGCGCAGCTGGCGTCACGTGTGGATTAACAGTGTACGCGACGCGCGACAACAATAACTTACGTGTCTAAGGAGGATTATTGTTTACCTGAGAGCTGTTCTCATCTGCAAACGCTGAGATCCGGATTCGCTTGTGGTCTCCTCTAAATAAAGACGCGACTCTAGTTGCTGTGGATTGTCCTGTCTCTACAGATTTGGTAAGTGAGCGACCAGTGCTCTTTGTTTATTCAGTTCGTATTTTATTCGTATCAAACAAACTATTGCACCGAGTGTAAACAAGTTAGCACTACAACCAAACTATAACCTCGTGTTGGATTTTGTGACCGGAATAACACACGTGGCTTTCTGACACAACATGCCGTGTGCATCTAAGTTTCCGGGAAATGCTGAGTTTTTTTTTTCTCTCATTCGCCGTGCGGTATCAAAGATTGCATGAAAAATACACGCTTAGAGCAGTTCCTCGAATCAAATATCACGTTTGTCGTGAGGGACATGAATGAATTCCCTAAATGAAAGAGCCAAACTGCAGTTAAAGTCCACCATTTAATAATTTGGCAAATAATTCGACTACAGATGTCCATGTAAACACAGTCACTCTGAAATTCAGCGCGCCCAAATAGACACTCCCACACCAAGCCTATTTTCTTCCTCCGACACTCCCCCCTAAACAGAGCTGGACACGCCCACTTTTCGGACTTTTTCCAAAGTAGAGGTGTGAAAACACCCTGCTGAAACGAGGGGGTTTCATGGCCCTTTAATACGCAGCTGTCAATTAATTAGGTGGGCGGGGAAACCACACTCCTACATCACTTTGCAGTCGGCCCTAAAATGGAAGGGATTTGGATCCTATTTTAACATCACAAAATTAAAAAAAGAGACTTATTGTCTATATATCACCTCAATATGACTGTGGACACGCTATACCTATGCACAGTTCTGTCCAAAAGATGATTTTCATCATAGGGGCCCTTTAAAGTAGGTATGGTTGTTTCTCAGAAAAACAAGTACAAAAACTGAGCAGGACAATTTTAAAGCTTCTGATATGTTGAATCTAAAAAAAAACCTGGGTTGTTTTAACCCAAATTAGTGATATGGACCATCCCAACATTTTGGTTAGTTTTTTTTTTTTAATTACATTTAATGTAACTTATGGGTTGGTCCATATATCATCTAAATATGTCAACAATTTGCAACCTTATGGCGTAAATAAAATACAAATGTGTACTATTTTAAAAGGTACAACTGTCGACAGCTTTTATGAGATCGTGTGTGATACTACAGTAATTAAAGGGATAATTTATCCAAAAAGGAAAATGCAATAATGATTTTATCACCCTCAAGTGGTTCCACTTTTATGAGTTTCTTTTTTTGTGTGAAAACTTTGTTTTGAAAAATGTTCAAACTTGGTGAACATTGACTTCCATAGTAGAAAAAACAAATATGTCAATGGTTACCACTTTCCAACATTTTTCAAAATATCTTCTTTTGTGTTCTACAGAAGAAAGAAACTCATGTGAATAAATGACTTTTTATGTATTTATTTGTTTTAGTTTTGTGGGAATTATCCCTTTAAATATGTAAAATAATGTGTCCATCAGCATGCAGTTCTTTCTGGACTACTAAACACAGTGATATGTGTATACGCATGAATCTTTAAGAAACTGTAGGTATACATGATTTGTTTTTTAAAGGGTAAACCACTGAAACTTTTAAAAACAAGTATAGTCTTCCACCCTGAACCATCAGTAAACGATTGAACATTTTTTCACAGAGAAGCAGAATCATGAGAAAGGTCTTATGAATGCAACATAATCCAAGATAAAGATTGGCCAAACCTGAAACGTTCCTGGCCTGCAGTGTCCCAGATCTGCAGTTTAATGCGTTTTCCGGGTTCAATCTCCACCAGGCGGGAGAAAAAATCGACCCCGACTGTCGGGTCCGACACCTGCGCGAAACGGCCTTCTGTAAATCGCCTAATTAAACACGACTTTCCAACAGTTGAGTCCCCAATCACAATCAGCCGAAACTGGTAAAGCCAAATCGCCTCCATGTCTGTTCAGATCTGTCAAAACAAAATGCAAATAATTGACAATTTGTAGAGCTGACAAAACATGTTCATGAAGAGCACAACAGAATAGAGTCACATTCTTTATTTTACTCGCATTTTAAGTAAACCTAATAAAAGTACCAGATAGAGCGGAGTTCTCTTTAAAGCTTTGCACTTCATCGGCAAGCTCTTCTGGGAATCTCCTCTATAAATATTACAGCAATTACATGATCAGGGTATGACAACTGTGCTTGCTCTGATAAGGTAGATGACACACAAAACCTTTGCTTTTTGATTTCTTCCATCAGTTGTGACAGAAAACTGGTGGTTTATATAAACGTATGTCGATTTTATATAGTCTATATACATTTATCCAGACTAAATAGGGTAATCTTTAAAGGCAATTCGGTAACAATGTACAATAAGATTGTAGCTGATATTAGTTAATGCAATTACTAACATGAAGAAACAATGAACAATACATTTATGACAGTATTTGTTTATGTTTGTTACGGTTATGAAAATTCAAATTTGAATGTTAATAATGCATTAGTAAATGTTGAAGTGTGATTAATAAACACTTTACAAGTGTTGTTCATCATTTGTTCATCTTAGTAAATACATATAATGAAACCCTTTAGTTTTCCCAGTACTGGGTTGCGGAAGCAAAGGCATTCACTGCGCAAAATATATTCTAGAATAGTTGGCGGTTCATTCCGCTGTCAACACCGGATAAACAAGAGACTTAGCCAAAGGAAATTGTGACTGACAATTGTGTATAACGTCCAACTATTTTAAGGCTTTAAATAATGTAAGAATACATTTAATAATAAAGATGGTTAATCTTCAGTGCCACATTTAGCCTACTAGCTTACATAGTTAAATGTGTATATGTTAGTCTACTAAATCTGTCAGAAATCATCAATAAAACTTTTATTATTATGTTTTCTGTTTTAGACTTTTTTTTTCATGCAAATTAGGTTTGTAGATCCTTATAGTCTCAATACAATGCCTTTAACAGTTATCCTCGTGACCTATTGACAAAATGTGATGGCTGAGATTAGCCGGGCTACAGTATCTTGGCCTTGTCACATTAACGACTGCTTCCGGTTTTAAACCTACAGCTGTTTAACAATCGCTGTCATTGTGTAGTAGCATTTGTGTAGACGGTCTTTCCTTCAGTGCTCTTTACTTACGTTGTTTTTTTTTTTTGTTTTTTTTTTTGGTGTTGTTTGTTTGCTCCGTTCAAAGCTGCCAAACGGCAGATTCCATAATCTTTACAGGATTGAAGTCTCTTTAGAATCCGACGGATGAAATCACGGAGATAAACTCTTCACATAATATAGCCCACTGAATGATAAACAAAACATTCGTCTCTACGGAGGAAAAACAAACAGGTGCAAAGCAAACTGCGCCGCGTAGGCGGTCTGTGTGGCTGAAGATGAGTCGGCGTGTTGCTGAAATGGCCCCTGCCTGGATCAAAGTCGCCTTAAAGTCGAAGATGATTTACGCCTGTCATGTTTTGATCCACGTTTGGAAGATGGAGAAATGTTTGGATGTTTTGTGCAGATGAAATGGAAGCGACAGCAGAAGCATCATATAGCCTGACTCATCCCGCATCAGCACCAGTACCACAGTCCTCCTAAAAGCAGCGGCAGGCAAAAAGCTCTGCTCTCTTGTGCTTCATACATACTTTCTCAGCTGACTGAACGAATAATAAATTTCCACACAAAAAAAATAAAAATTGTATTCTAATAGCCCAGTGTAAATGGATATACATTAGTCAGCATATATATATATATATATATATATATATATATATATATATATATATATATATATATATATATATATATTTTATTTTATTTATTTTTTTTTTACGTTGTTTAAATAGGCCTATGTTAGTGATTAAGTAGATTTTACTATTAAACTTTGGTCTAAATATTTGACCATAGGTGAACTTAGTGATTGTTCCAGGTATAGGGTCATAAAACAACAACTAAAGGCCTCTACTTTTCTCTAAATGCATTACATAGGCTGTATCCTGGAAAGCGTGAGTGCTCTCTTTATGATCACTAAAACCTAAATCTGATGCACACTAAATCTTCTTTACTTTGTTCCATTGGCAGAATTCATGCGTCATTGACCAAAAATTTCTCGTGTTGACAGCAATGAGTGGATTTTAATCTAAACTCTTCTGATTGGTTATTGAGCTCTGCCTGTGATTAGCTTCACTGCTCGAAACTAAATACAATGTAAACAACCTCTGACACTTTCTAAAACCAACTACGCACTAAAGAATTAGCCAACTTCACTCAAATAAAATGGGGCCCAAGTGACCCCTTACATCGTTTATTGCTTCAACCTTAAATAACTCTTGCACAATATTAAACCTTAAATATCTCTTTTGCACAATTTTCACCTTAAATACCTCTTGCACAATATCCTGCACAACATTGTTCAGTGTCATCATGTAAAAGTACTTGTGTAGTCTGTTTTATGTGTATAGTTAAGTATTTTATAGTATGTTTGTTATGCATATTTTTTAAAAATAGCTCTCATGTCCAGTGTTTTGTTTGTATTTATGATTAATTTTTCCGTTGACCGTTGTCCTGCAGGAAATGACATTTCATTTCTCTGTATGTCCACACATGTAGCGGAATGACAATAAAGCTCGACTTGACTTGATATGTCAATTTCATACCTTAAAAGGAAGTAGAAAAATATTTGTAGTAGTTTGTCATTAAATGGCCGACGCAGTGGCGCAGTATGTAGTGCTGTTGCCTCACAGCAAGAAGGTGTGTGTGGATGTTTCCCAGAGATGCATTGCGGCTGGAAGGGCATCCGCTGCATAAAAATGTGCTGGATAAGTTGGTGGTTCATTCCGCTGTGGTGACCCCGGATTAATAAAGGAACTAAGCCGACAAGAAAATGAATGAATGAATAGTTATTAAACTTAAACAGCACATGTTTGATAGAACTGGCTTGCTTGGTTTGGGACTTGTGGAGCTGCGCATTGTTGAAGTTACTCTTCAGTGTTTGGACTTTTAGCAGTGACATTTACATTATTACACTGAACTAAAATGAACTTCAACTCTGAAAACTGGACTAAAGCAGTTTCAATTTACTAAAACTTCTTCTAGGCTATTTTAAGCTATTTTGGCTCAATCAATATAAAAGTGCTATAAAGAATTTAAAACATGTTCTTTAATAGCCTACTCACAAACTAATATATAGGCTATACACTCTCAAAAATTAAAGGTTCAAAATCTGTCACTGGGCGGTATCAACCATATCACAATGTACATTTTGTTCCTAACAGGTCCTTGAAGGTACTTATATTAATACCTAAACGTATACATGAGAACCTCACAGTACTTTAAAGGTACAAAAGTGAACCTTAAAGGTACAAAAGTGTAACCTAAAGGTATTAAAGTCCACAAGTAGTACAAAAGTGTATCCTTTTGAAAAGGTACCGCCCCAGTGACAGATTTTTTGTATCTTTATTTCTTAGATTAACATTAAAATCTTATAATATATGATTTGTTATGAATGTGGGAGGAAACTACAGTTTTGATTCTATATATTTAGATTTCATTAAATTCTATGTAGTTGGGTTTTATTTATTTTTGTATGCGCCTTCTACTTCAAAGTTTACGAGCAGACAAAGCATATGATCAGTGCGACGGGAGATGTAGTTTATAGGCGACTCTTAAAAATAAACTCAGACTAAACCTCCTGACCGAGTTCAGTTGGGCGCACAGTGATGGGCTTCTAGAGTAGATCAGTTTACAGTAGTATTAGTCTTAAGTGGATCCTCGGCGAGATGAAAAATTGTCGTTAGTCAAAAGAAGTGCATGAACTTTTCGTCCATGTGAAGAGACGCGTTTTAAAGCGGACAGCTATCAGGGGCGCGTCAGATCCCGCGAAAGGCAGTCAATCTCTTTTGTTTTTCACGATTTTGCAGTTTTACGATACACGAACAAGTTGATGTAAAATCTTACACAACTTCATTTTTTATTTTACACAACTTTTCCTTTTTTAATATAACTGTTATGTAGTTTTTAAATTGCTGAAATGCAGCAGGAGCGCTTACTCAAAGTCCTTGTCATTGGAGATTTAGGAGTGGGGAAAACATCCATCATAAAGCGTTATGTCCATCAGATTTTTTCTCAACATTACCGCGCAACCATCGGTGTCGATTTTGCTCTGAAAGTTCTGAATTGGGATCACAGGACAGTCGTTCGACTGCAGCTGTGGGACATCGCAGGTCAGTTACAGAGGTTATTTAGTTCCTGCTCTTTGCTTGCATTGTCAATGATTGTCAGTATGTTAAGTCACAGGCTACCTTATCAAAAAGCCGTATGTAAATAAATGAGCATATGGGGAGCTGAGAGCAGTGTCAATATGACATACTGTAAGCATAGCTATCTAAAACATGCAGCACAACATTTGCATCTTTTCCGTAGCCTACATACGTCAAATATATTTTGATGAACTAAAAAAAAAGCAATATATTTTTATATTTGTTATATACAGCCCTGGAACACAAAGCAATTCTAGTTTTTTTTCTGGATTTGGTTTAGTTCCTGTCATCATTTACTCACCCTTTACTTGTTCCAAATCTATGAGCTTCTTTCTTCCGTTGCACACAGAAGAAGATACTTTGAAAACTATTGGAAACCTGTAACTATTGGCTTCCTTATTATTTGTTTTTCCTGCTATAGAAGTCAATAGTAATCAGCTTTAAACTTTCTTCAAAATATCTTCTTTTGTATTCAACTCACATTGGAAGCACTTGAGGGAGAAAAGATGGTGAGTAAACTTTTTGGGTGAACCGTCCCTTTAAAAGCTACATGTATCGAATAAAATGTTCATTTGTGTTGTGTTTTATGAACTGCTGATATGATTAACAGATAATACAATTATTTATGTAGAAAATGACAATATATCAATACAAGATATTCTATGATTTCAGACTTTACTTTTAAAGTACATCAAATTTGATGTCTGTCAAATTTCTCCAGTAAATTCTACATTAAATCAACGTATTATTATTGTTATAAGTTGGATAAAATTAAAACTATAAAAATATTCAAATATTTTTGTAGTGTTTCGAAAAGAACAAGTTGTTATTCAAGTTTGGACACTTTCCAACCTCAGGTTTAGCATCACTGTTAACAACATTATACGTCTTTGTATTAAACAAGAAATCACACAATGCACATAAAGACAGAAAGTGCGACATAATATGCCTGGATTAAAGCTTTAACACTTGGTTGGAACACTTGTAATGTCATTAATTAAATGGCCATTGCATGCCTTGTTTGAGATTTCTCTGCTCTCAGCTGGTTTGTGTGAATCCCTCTCTGTGTTTGTTATAAACTGAAGCACACGGACAGGAATGTGTATCCCGTGTTTATATTCACTGGTCTCATGCTTATATTGGTCTCATGTGAGGGTCCTCACATCACCTACCAGGGAAGAACACTAAAAACACTTTTCCTCTCACCGGCTCAGAGACAAAAACATTCCATTATAATGCATTTAACGTGCCATGGTGGACAGAAATGGCAAATTTTGGCATATAATTGTTTGTTTGTTATTTGATTCTTTTGGTTTAAAGTAGTAAAATTCACAAAAACGGAACAAATTTAAAGGGAAAGTTCACACAAAAATGAAGATTTACCTACTTTATACTCTCCCTCAATTGGTCTTAAACTTTTATGAAATTGTTTTGTGTTCAACACACACACAAAATATATTTTGTAGAAAGCTGAAGACCAGTAACCATTGCCTTTTTTAGTAGGAAAAACAAATACCATGGAAGTCAATGGTTGCAAATCTCCAACATTCTTCAAAATATCTTCTTTTGTGTTTAACAGAATTAAGAAACTCATAAACTATCCATTTAAATTATATCTCAACACTGTAAAAAATGATTCATTTAATTGACTATTTTTTGTAAGGTAAGTTGATGCAACAATTTATATGTGCTGAATCTAAACAAACAAATGACATTTAGTAATGTTCAACTTCATTTGTTTGTTTAATATCAGCCCATATAAATAGATTTGTACTTACCTTACAAAAAAATGGGAAATCTGACGAACCATTTTTTTTCAGTGTATCAACAGAAAGTAAGTGTGAACTTGTTGTGTATGGCTGTGCCTTATTAACACAGACTCAGAGAAGCTGAATGATTGCATTAAAGTCCCATCTTGAATTGAATGCAGTTGTTTTTTGACCTCACACAGGACTTCATACAGACCAAATTTCAAAGTGTGAACCCTGTATAGTAGCTATGACAATCTAATCGGCCTACTTGTGCAATGATTTTCAGCATGATAATGCAATAATAATGGTTATGTCCTCCTGAAATGCTTTACAACATACTTTTTACTCCATCGGGCCAAATGGTCCTCAGTGAAACCGTGTCTAACTTTGTTTCCATGTGGTGCTGTGAAATTAGCATTTGAATGTATGTAATCTTGGTGACGCAAGAGTTGGAACAACATGATACTATAGAAGGTAGAGCATTATGGATTTTAGTAACGGTGCTGTAAACGAAAATGAGTATGTGGGTAATGTTAACAGAGGGTTCAACTGATTGTATTGTTGTTTTACAAAATGACAATCGCTCAGCAGGCAAACATATGTATAACAAACCTTTGGTAGACAAAAACTCCATAATAACTTTTTAAGCACTTCAAACACTGTAAAAATACAGGGTTCCACACAATGTTTTCAACAAATCCATTAAGTTAACATTGTATTTTACAAGTTTAAGTGGATTGAACAATTAAGTTGTCCTCAAAAAGCTACTTGAATGATCATTATGACTACAATAATATAGATATAGTCCATGCTATTGTTATAATGAGAATGAAACGAAGAAACAATTATAATGGAATCAGTTTGACTTTTTTTTCTAGCTGATGAATGATGTGTGCGTATGATAAAACAATATTTGGATTGGTTTTGGTACTGAATGTGCCTATTCCTCACAGCATTGCTTTCATCCATGTAAAAAAACCCTGGATAGCACCAACTCGGATGTAGGTATTTGGAGTACGATCGTTTCATTTAGAAGAGTAAAGTTTTAGAAAAAAAAATGAGAAAAGTAGCCAGCACAATGCATCTCAATTATGAAATGTGTATAAAACACTACTCTATGTGCTTCATAATGGTTGTACTCATTAAGGCATGGGTGAATGGCACTCAACACATCCAAAAAAAAAACTTATAAAACTCGAAACACCCTGAAGAAGTTCACAATTTCTCACACAAAATTTGCTGCAAGGAGACATGATTAGGATACCTAGGAAATCCTGCCCCATAATGGGCAGGATTGTGACTATGATAAGAAAAAACAGGCATTCTTGAGCTTCGTGATGATTTTATCTTGTGACATTATGTCCTGTTTATGGTTTGTTTAGATGTCTTTGCGAGTACCTATTTAATTAAAACCACACCTGGGACATGTGAAAACTCAAACCAGTGCGCAAAATTTCACTACTGTTTTCACATTGAACAAAATGTTTTTTTTGGAAATGTTGTGCGACATTGTGCATGGTAGTTTTAAGACATGTTTTCTCTTGTTGTTAATAAAGTGTATATAAACCAGCTTGCAGAATTTTCTAGGTAAAGTCTGTTCTATTTTATTCTGGACAGCAAGGGCATCATCTGTCATATCAAGTGTTTGTTGTAGTATTAAACACGTATTTATCAAGCATAGACAATTATTCAAAAAGAACATCATGAATAGCTGCCTCAGCTACCATAGCTCCAACTCCTGTGTCATCAGAAAAATGTGTTCAACGCTCCACCGTTTCCATTTTAAAAATGTTTTGCAACATTTTGTCAGGGCTGAACACAACCTAAAGCTCGAGATGCAGTTTTTCAGAGGTCTTGGTCTGTCTGATTGGTGTACATAGAAATGGCTGCTTTACTCTTATTATTCAAAAGAAGGTAATGATTCGCACTCAATTGCTTCATACTGTTTTTATTTTTACTTTTTCTTACATTTTACGGGTGATAACAGACAAACAGACGTTTCGGCACAAAGCCTTCCTCAGTCACTGAGGAAGGCTTTGTGCCGAAACGTCTGTTTGTCTGTTATCACCCGTAAAATGTAAGGAAAAGTAAAAATAAAAATAAAAACAGTATGAAGCAATTGAGTGCGAATCATTACCTTCTTTTGAATAATAGTAACGATCAGATTAACGCACCAAACCAAAGAAGTAACTAAAAAAAACCGCAAGTGCGCAGGACAAACTTCAGTAACTCTGCTTTACTCTTATTCAAATGAACTGCAGATATCAAAGCAATCTCAACAGAATTTCGTTTAATTGCACCAAACATGCCCCTAAGTTAAAGGAACACCCCACTTAAAAAAAGCCTCAACTCCCCTAGATTAAAACATAGATCTTTGTTTTAGATTAGAGTAATAGCATCTCACTTACACTCACACAACGTAATAAATCGCCAAATATTTCGGCACATGTTTGACACAGCAGATGCCCTTCCAGCCACAACCCAGTACTGGGAAATACCCATACACTCTCACATTTACACACACCATGGCCAATTTAGTTTACCCAATTCACATACCTGGACCACAAACCGAAGTACTCCATACAGAAGTGCCAACTGGTCCAGCCAGGACTCGAACCAGTGACCTTCTTGCTGTGAGGCGACAGTCCTAACCACTGAGTGACCATGTCAACCAGACACCCAATTTCAATTTCTGTAGTTATATTGTGTACTAAGACCAATGAACAAATTATTTCTAGGCTAATTTTTCTAGGAACTGTACTCTATTATTCAGTACTAATAATCAAGGAACTTAGCTACAGCAGACGCAATGACAGTATAATTCCTAACCATATTGGCCAAGATAATAAAATCATCCATCAAATTATCTAAACTTTAAGATGCTAATGGTCTAATCTGATTCAATGATTTATGCTAAGCTAAAAGTACTCCAGTCAGACCCAGACATCGGCTGAATGATTCAAATATGGTAAAACGCTGCTGTTTAACTCTAGGACTGTTGTAAAATGATTCTTTTTTTTAAGTGGAGTGTTCTTTCAAATGTTGTTTTGTCAGTATAAGAAAATAAAAGTGATTTCTCATTTCACAAAAAAAAAAGAAATTCAAATGACTCAGCTATCATAAATTATATTCTTATTTATTTGCAGGACAAGAGAGGTATGGGAACATGACACGAGTGTACTACCGAGAAGCCGTCGGGGCGTTGGTTGTTTTTGACATGACCCGTGCCTCCACTTTCCAAGCTGTGTTAAAATGGAAAAAAGATCTGGATTCTAAAGTGGCCTTGGGCAATGGACGTCCCCTGCCAGCTGTCCTGCTGGCCAACAAGTGTGACCAGCAGAGATATGGGTTGTGTTCCAAACTGCCCAAACTCGAACATTTCTCCAGGGATCACGGCTTTGTGGGCTGGTACGAGACATCTGCGAAGGTACAAAATATAGGCTATGTACAGTACTTTGCAAAAGTCTTGGGCATCTAGTATATTCACCATAAACATGTTTCGAGTAATTATTTCTATATTTTTCTGAAGCATGTCAGTTTGAAATATCAGTTTAGATTTCCAAAGTAGAGTTCCTGGTTGTGTTCTATTCCCAGTTATCCCCGTTGTTTACATCCTCGTTTATGTCCTCGCTACAACATACCATTAACGCTAGAAACTGTGCATGTAATAGATTAATTTTAACAAATAAAAATACTTACGGGTTGAGATGCAAAATCCACAGCTTTGTCTGTTGGAGGAGTTTTTAGATGAATCCAGCGCCGAACTGGGTGAGATTCTGGAAGCTGTCCTTTGTCAAATGCTAGAGCTATATATTTTTATAATTCTCTGAAACATAATTAAAATTGAACTGTGAGCACTTCTCTCTTTTTGACGTGTCCTTTGGAAGCCCAAATACAGAAACAGAAGAAACTCTATGGAAATAGTAGCGTTTGGATGCCATTTTAGCTTTCTCTGCTATAATATTATAATGCCTCTGGCTACACCCCTTTATTGTGCAGGGTGTCTGCATGTAGGAAATGCGATAACTGGAAGCCCATGTGATCTCACTTGTCCAGATGTATTTTTTTTTGTAGTCCCCAAACTTTGTTCGCTGTAGGCTTTGTTAAGCTAACTTTGTAAAAGCCAATGTCTCCCTTTGCATTGAACTTTGAGCGTATTACATTCAGAGATGTTGTTTATGTTCACACAGCTACATTAAACATCAATTAAATTTAAAATATCATATTGTAGTGGAAATAAAAAAATAAATTAAATAATTTAACAATATCCTACTTAATAATAATAATAATAATAATTAATAGATAACGCAACTACAGTTTTGGGGACATTTGTCACTGCATCGTTTTTTTCCCAAATGATGCATCATAATATGATAGTTCAGCCATGAGTTATTTCATTGTTTGGGAGTTGCACCCCTGATCGTCATCCAGTCTGTCTAGAATGACATGAAGAAACAGAACAAACTGAGGCAACCTCAATCCAGAAGGACTTTGGCAACATCTATAAGATGCTTCAAAAAATTATTTGATATTCCAAACTGACATGTTACAGAAAAATATAGAAACAAACTTTGTTTAAATGTTAGAATGTTTTAAATGAATTGGGCATGGGGGATAACTGGGAATAGAACACAAACAGGATCTCTGCTTCTAACTACAGCTCTAAAGGTGTAGTTGAAAGTGTACAAGTTTGCGATGCAGTTTGCGAATGTTCATTGGAATGACGGATTTTGGAAACGCAAAATCAATATGTTTGTAACGACATAACTTGCGACCTTAGTTGGCTAACGATGGTTTTTGGAAATGCACCCCTCATCAGATCTCTGTTTGGAGCACTGGCTGTTGTCAGACTCCTTGCATAAACAATAATCTCACTGTAAAATTACAATCATAGCAAAAAATATATTTGGAAATCTAAACTAATATTTCAAACTGACATGCTACAGAAAATTATAGAAATAACCAACATTTAAACATTTGTTAGAAAAAATACTAGTGGCCTAAGACTTTTGCACAGTACTGTATATGATCATTTTTATCTAACGCTGAACATTTTAACTAATTTTTTCATTCTCTTTATAAAAGGACAACACAAACATCGATGCAGCCATCATGCGTCTTGTAGAAAACATAATGGCCGTTGAGGAGGAGAATGTTCCAGTGGAATCAGACCCCAGTGTGCTCATCCTGCCTGCTTTTGATTATAATCTAAAGGAGCGCAGTGACTCTAGATGTTCAGTCTGCACAAAATTCCAGTCCAGCATAAAACCTCACAGTGAATTATAGAGTGAGACAAACAGAAGAAGAGAGAGAAGAGTGGGAGAGAAAAATACAGTGAGAAACAGAACGGTCACACCCTTTGTTGAGCCTTCAAATTGTGCTGAACTAAGCCTTTGTGGGCAAGACAAGACCATGATGCCTTAACACTTACACATTCTTACTTTTTCACATGCCAGAAACAACAGTGTCATCAATAAAACATGCAGCGTTTACACAGTTTTCTCTGATAAATACTTAATGTTGTAGACTCACAACTAAATAAGGCTCTTGCGGTTTTACTGCGCTCACAACTGCATCAACTTTGTGCTTGTTAAAGCGTCTGCACTAAAAAAAATATCTGGTAATTAACAGTTTCCGTATTTTGTGTTTTCAGTTTATTTAAGGTTGTAAATTTCATTATGTGACTGAAATCTCTAATCTTTCGACTTTTGATGTTGAAAATCGAACTCCACAGTCTAACATTGTGACTTTTATTAATATAATATAATGTGTAAGAAACAGTATAGAGAGAAATAAGTCAGAAGTGTGAAATGACAGAAATGTACTGGCAGTTTATTAAAAGGATTTTTGTACCGTAATATACACAACCCAGGCTCATTTTTAAAATTGATATACAAATCTGGAGAACGCCAAATACATCGCAGGAGGTAATTATTTGCAGTTTTTGGTTTTGTGAATCCTCTATAGGTCGCTGTGAGCAGTGTTGCCAACTTAGCGACTTTGTCTCTATATTTAGCGACTTTTCAGACCCCCGTAGCGACAAATTTTCCAAAAAATGACTAGCGACAAATCTAACAACTTTTTTGTGTATTACTTTAGATTTTTATAGACTCTCATGTGTCAATACTGTACTGTCCCTACGCTTCTCAACGAGCTGCGAGTGATGCTGTCAGCCCATTCCCTGCCTCAGAGCACTGCCCGATCCTCGTACAGCAGTCTCTCCCACCTGCAGCCTGAGAGCAGATCAGTCCTCTGCGTACCGACGTCAAATGATATAGCACCAGGAGTGTGAGGTATTTCCATTGTACAGTCAAACCAATCTGCAGCTTCTTTATTTTAACAATTTAATTTGACCGTTTATTCTTTTTTTGTTTACAGTCACAGATATTTTAGTGACAGTTTCGGAACTTGTCCAAGTTTATTAAGTCTGCGAGATTACTGCAACTTCACTACACATTTATATTGATATATTGTATTTATTCTTTTTTTTTTTGGCTTAGTCTGTTTATTGATCTGGGATCGCCACCGCGAAATGAACCACCAACTTATCCAGCACATGTTTTACACAGCGGATGCCCTTCCAGCTACAACCCATGACTGGGAAACAATCATAAACTCTCATTCACACTCAAACACTACAAACAATTTTAGCTTACCTGATTCACCTAAAGCGCATATCTTTGGACTTGTGGGGGAAACCGAAGCACCCAGAGGAAAACCACGTGAACACAGGGAGAACATGCAAACTCCACACAGAAATGCCAACTGGCCCAGCCAAGGCTTCAACCAACGACTTTCTTGCTGTGAGGCGATTGTGCTACCCACTGTGCCACAGTGACCCATACTGTATTCAAACAGCAACAAATTTAGTTAAATTGACATGCATACATAAAGCATAGTGCAAATATAAATACCCCTATATTAAGCAAAGGCTGTCAAAAAACTGAAACGGTAGAATATGATGATGTCGTTAATATGCAAATTGACGTATGATGTAATCTAGCAACATTTGGCGACTTTTGGGCAGAGTTTAGTGCCCAAAAAAGAAAAAAAAAAGAAAAGCCTTTACAGCAGCCTGATTTTTACCAGGTTTTCAGATTTTACCACATTTCCAATCTGTTTTTTACTTATTTGTTTTATTTTTTGGCTTTTGTTTTTGTCTTACCTGCTTTCTGAAACCGTTCTTCACTGGACTCAAACCCCTGTGCCTACATGGCGAGCTACTGGACAAACTGGTAACACTCTCCTTTTCAAACTTTTCAAGGTTTAAAAAGTTCTTAGAATAAAGATCCAGGACCCAAAATGCAATTCAAAAGCATAAATAGATGGGGAAAAATAAAAATAAATAAAGACATGAATCACAAAATATGAAAAACAGCTCCTTTTACAGTGTGGCATATGGAGATAGTTCACCCAAAACTGAAGATTCTGTCATCATTACTCACATTTGCTGAAAAACATTAAAAACCTGTAACCGTTGACTTCCATAGTATTTGTTTTTCCTTAAGTCAATGGTGACCGGTTTCTAACATGACCTTCTATTGTATTCAACAGAACAAAGAATCCCATAAAGGTTTGAAACCACTTGAGGGTGAGTAAATAGTGAGAACAATTTCATATTTGGGTGAACTCTCCCATTAAAGCCTCCATCCAAAAATGTGTGTGCATTTTTGCGTGGCATTACGTGGGAGTGTGCTCATGTAAATGCAGGCTCAAGTACACTCAATAGATACTCAGCGCTAAAAACAAAAGTAATATAACAGCTAGTCCATTCCTGTTGATCAACCTGAGATATATTTAGAATTGTCAGTCAGATGCAGAGCACAGATGGCACCAACAACAACAGCAACTACATAAAATACTGTCTGCGGTGCTTCCTTTAGAGATAAGCTTGCACACATTTCACACTTATCAATGCAGATAAAAATAAAATGTTCATTTAATTGATTTGGCTTGTCTATTATGTGCATAGGTTTGTAAGATCAAGGATGATGCAAGATCTTGAAGCGATAGCAAATTAAAGGGATAGTTCACGCATAAATTACAATTTTGCAACAACTTGTTCACCCTCCACTTGTTTCAAACCTGTTTGAGTTTTTTATTTATTTATTTTTTTAACACAAAATAAGATATTCTGAAAAAAAAATGCTGGGGGGAAAAACAGACATTGTCTTCCAAAGAGGTTTCTGTTTCAGCTATGAATGTCAATGGATGCTGGGTTCAAACTTTTTTTTAGAATATCTTATTTTGTATTCAACAGAATAAAGGAACTCAAACAGATTTGGAGTAAATGATGATTCAGTAGCAACCTAGGCTTATTAAAAAAAAAAAACTAGCCCTATATACTTTTCTGGAGATCACGAATTATGTATCCAGAGCTACGTATGGTTGCATTTTGTCTTTAAAACAAATGCCACAGGATGGTATGATGGCATTCATTTTTGTGCTTACCAGCTGACCGCTTACCTCTGTGTGGACGGCTTTCCCACTGTTACCCGTTTGTCCAGTGGTTTGATGTGTAGGTCAGAGGATTTGAGATGCAGAGCGAAGTTGACTGTGATGACGGGCTTTGAGTCCAGCTAAGAACAGTTCCAGAAGGCAGTTGTCAATTGGTCAGTCAGTCAGTTAACAGCAGTATCTGCTGGATTTATGTGAGAAGAACAGTCGCAAATGCCACTTGTTAGAGAAATTGGACATCTCAAAAAGCGTAAACAGCGGCCTCTGGTGGATTAAAAAAAACAAAAACTGCAGACCTATGCAAGATGTAATTGCTGCAGCTAACAGCTTGATGGTGATTGTCAACAACATTGCAGACATTGTACCACCCACTAGGGTAACGCCCATGCTACTGTGACGGTTGAGTTTAGGGTAGGGGGAGGTGTTGGGGATTGTCAACTACATAGCCTTAAGGTAATGCCCATGCTACTGTGATGGTTAGGTTTAGTATAGGGGAGGTGTAGGCGATCATCAACTACATAGCGACCTTGTATCACCCACTAAGGTAACGACCATTTTGCTGTGACGGTTGGGTTTAGGGTAGCGGGAGGTGTAGACAGGGCTTAATATGTGCTGGAACACGCTGTCTCCAGATCTGGCACCTCTGAAATTGGATCCGGCCATTTTACTGATCCCCCTCCTCAACCGCCCTTCTCTGCCGTCCGCCATTCACTTTCACTATCTTTCGCGACTCCCCAACCCTCTTTACTTTTGTTCGCGACAAACCCCACAGCTCTTCACTTTCGTCCAAGACACCCCTCCACCATCCAACGCCCCGCCATCTCACCCCCAACCCCGCTCCCCGCTCCCCGCTCTCCACTTTCATGCGCAGCACCTCTACATCCTTGACTAACATGGCAGATCCATTACCCTGAACTGTTCCGGGACCTCGCAATTCACAAATTAGACACTGGGTGTAGGTAATCTATATAAAACTATGTAGCAGACCTTGTATCGCCCTTTAAAGTAATGCTCATGCTACTATAGCAGTTTGGTGTAGGGTAGGAGGTTATGTACCACCCACTAAGGTAACGCCTATGCTACTGTGACATTTGGATTTAGGGTAGGGGGAGGTGTAGGCGATCGTCAACTACGTAGCGGACCTGGTCAACAACACCATCAAGTTGCGGGCTGCAGCGAGGACTGTCTCAATCTATTGGATGTGTTTGGCGCTCTCCAGAAATGTATATAGGGGTATGTAATCAGAATGAGCCTGGGTTGTTCATTTTAGTGTAAAGCTGTGAACTATCCCTTTAAATTAAACCATCATGCACCACCATAAAAAATGAGTTCCTTTACTGTGAATATTCAGTGTCAAATGTGTGTGCATATATAAAAAAAGAAATCATTTGCTTCAGACAGTGCCTCGTCTGACACTGAGGCGCGTGCCTAGTGTTTTAATGTGTCACTGGATGTGCGAGAGTTTATATGTCATGACACATACACTTGCTCCATGATCACAACAGTCTTTTTTACTGTCTGTTTATTCTGTCAGACTCTTTTTCTTCTGCTTCCTCCATCCCGGTGCCCATAATTTATGGATCCCCCCCAGCTGTCTTACTAAATAGGCTTCACTTTTAGACATTATCTGTGGAAGTGTTTTGGACTGTGTAACTCTGTTTGTGTAATTGCATGTATCTCATAGCTACAAGACGTTTATCATCTCACAGCTCAGTAATCATATCTACATTTATTTCTGTCTGTTAGTCGGAGTGCTTCAGTCCTCTTTTTTCCACTGATGAGTCTGCCACTTGGAGCGTGTTTAACAGTGACCTTTACTAAGCCTGCTTTTTATTCAGTGGATGCGATGATGAATTTTAAAATATGAAAAAGTATTTTTAAGAACAGTCTTATTAAGTCTTCTAAAAGCGGCATGGCCTTTTGTGAACATGTAATGTACTTTTACTTGTTGTATTAGCAAACATGCACATTTTTATTTAATATTTTTAAACATTAAAGTAACATACAATAGTAATACAACGACTTTATACTATGTTTGTGTTAGTAGAATTAAAAACATTGTATTTAGTGACTGCTTACTGATTGCATCATCATTTTTTTTATAGATGAAAGTTCTTTCTTTATAAATGGTTTGTGTCTTCCGTAATGACATGTATGCATTTTCCCCAAGGTTTACCTTATATTTATATATACAGATAAAGTCAGACATATTAGCCCCCCTGAATTATTATTCCCACTGTTTATTTTTTTTCCCAATGTCTGTTTAACGGAGAGAAGATTTTTTCAACACATTTCTAAACATGCTTATAGTGACATTTAAAGGCTTAACTGGGTTAATTAGGTTAACTAGGCAGGTTAGAGTAATAAGGCAAGTTATTGTATAATGAGTTCTGTAGACAATCAAAAAATATAGCTTAAAGGGGCTAATAATTTTGACTTTAAAAGGGTTATCAAAAAAACAAAAACTAAAACCGCTTTTTATTTTAGCCGAAATAAAACAAATAAGACTTTCTCCAGAAGAAAAAAACTGTTATCAGACATACTGTGAAAATTTCCTTGCTCTATAATTCTGACTTCAACAACAACAACAACAACAACAACAACAACAACAACAACAACAACAACAACATTAATAATAATATAGTAGCCAAATATTAGTAACATTTTGATATATGCTCATGCTAATATCCAATTATTTATATCAGTGTATACACTGTTAAAAAAATTCAGGGAACACTAAAATAACCCATCCAAGATCTGAATGAATAAAATATTCTTTTTAAATACTTTGGTCTTTACATAGTTAAATGTGCCGACAACAAAATCACACAACAATGATCAATGGAAATCAAATTTATTAACCTATGGAGGTCTGGATTTGGAGTTAAAATTGAAGTGGAAAAGACATTACAGGCTGAACCAACTTTGGTGTAATGTCATTAAAACAAGTCAAAATGAGGCTCAGTAGTGGGTGTGGCCTCCACGTGCCTGTACGACCTTACAAAAATGCCTGGGCATGCTCCTGATGAGATGGCAGATGGTCTCATGAGGGATCTCTTCCCAGACCTGGACTAAAGCATCTGCCAACTCCTGCAAGCCAGCAAGACATGTCCCAGATGTGCTCAGTTGGATTCAGGCCTGAGAAATGGGTGGACCAGTCTATTGACCTTACTCTAAATGCGGAAGATTGCTTGTATTGCGATCGTTTTATAACTTCTGATTCAGTCACCTATATGGAAGAAATGACTAGGAATAATAAACAGCAGAAAACATTCGAACTACTTGCTCTAAAAGCAAGTGTTCATGGTTCAGACAAAGCAGAATAATATAATAAAAAACATCAGTCTGCAACATCAAGCAGCATAACCAGCTGTTTTTAATGTCTAATAATTATTGGAAGTGAATGAGAGTGGAAGTCTCGAACCAAAACGATTCAAATGGCTGCTCCAGCTCATCCGTGAATAATAAGGTCAAAAGCATAGATGACTTTGTCCTACCTTTTGGAGCAATGTATTTAGTATTTCCCCATCTATCACAGTTTTTGAACAGAATTTTGTTAATAATGTATTCGTACATCTATTGACAAACCAGCCTAAAACTCAACATTATATTGTTTATTAATGATGTTTATTAATTTATTAATTAATATTTAATAAATATAATAGTTTATATATATATATATATATATATATATATATATATATATATATATATATATATATATATATATATATATATATATAAACACAAACACACACACACACACACACACACACACACACACACACACTAATAATCCATCATTGAGCTGTTGCTGAAAAAATGTTTCTCTTGTTTAAAATACAAAACGAAAACTACATAAATGGATAAACGAAAGCTGCATAATAACAGCGCTAGCATTAGAATAATTGTGGGCATAGGTTTATAGGCTAAAATTAGTGAACACTTGAAAACCCCATTTCTAGTAGCCTGACGTCACTTAATAATAGCCCACTTTCCCTCAAAAAACAGGAGAAATGCTAAACAATTACTTAAATCCATTGCAGAAGAACAGCTGAGGCGTGTTTTTCCCGCCGTTTCTAATCATGAAACGGAAGGCTCAATGATTGTGAAAGGTTTAACTTAATTGCACGTTATTGTTTGCAACAGTATTGGGGGCGAGAGAAGAGCACGCGCTAATGAGAGAGAGAGAGAGAGAGAGAGAGAGAGAGAGAGAGAGAGAGAGAGAGAGAGAGAGAGAGAGAGAGAGAGAGAGAGCTTTTCACACATACGGTGCTGTAGAAAAAGTGCTATATTCCTGCCTTGCGCAATAATTTCAGGTCTGAGAGCTGAACCCCCAGCGGACGCATTGATCCTTTTACAGGTATGCTGTAGTCTGTGGGACGTGAATTGGAGAGCCTTCGACACACAAGACGCGACAGTGTCACAGCGGCTTAATCCTCATTACAGACTAATCAAAGGGAATTCCTGGAAAGTGCAGCACTCAGGATGTCTACAGGTTATGACTATCCGGACCAGATCACATTTAAAAAAAGCGGGAAAGGGGCGGTGTGAGATTGTTTTTCCTCAATCAAGTTTGAGCAGATATTTTGGTAAGTAGCACCGTTGCAATTTGTCAGACTTTCAAAATATGTTCATCTAGTCGCCATTCATAGAAAGTGAATTGTACATTTTCATTCACATTTAAAAAAAACTGTTTTGCTAGGATGTAACCAGACAAGCGCTAAACACCAAAATGCTGTGGATGAGGACAGAATTGCTGTTTTTCTTTGTATTCCCACTGAATGCAGGTATAAATCCTAAATTAACATTGTGATCATATAATGTCCACTGTACAGAGCTCAGCATATAAAAGTACACCCCTCACAAATCTCTCTTTTAAATTCATATTTCAATAGGAAGCTATACAATATTATAGTTGTGCATATACATTAGATCAGTCCTAAAGCCAAATATTCAGATTATCTAACAAAATAACTTCCAATAACGGTTTGGGTCTAGTACACCCAAAAATATTAAAAACAAATTTAAAAAAAGAGAAAAAATCAAGAGAAACAAAAGAATTGAAAAAATTTGTTGAAATTTTGTAGGTTGTAATTATTTTTTTTGCAATCTTTTGCTTGAATTTAATTGTATTATCTTTCAATTTCTAAATATGTTTGGTGACTAAAATATCATTTTAATAAATATATCTGTTTAATAAAACTGTTATGTTTAGGTGCACCAAAATACATTGCCTATATTCACTGAGAAATGGATAAAAATATTAATTTTGTACTCAATATGCTGAGCACAGTATATTCTATTTATCTCACCAGATGTCCAGATGTCTTGCTCTTATTTTGTGGTACTGCATGTCATTCATACATTTTATATTTATATATTCATACATTTCATACATTTTTATCTGTTTGTTAGTTGCATAATTGTTTTGCTTTTAAATATGCATCCCCTATAACAAATTTGATGAGTATTTTTTAGAGGATTTCATGATGGACACAAACCAACCTCAAACACCTATCATCGAAATGCAGAATTTTAAAAAAGCATTATTAGATACACAGGCCAAAAATATGATATATATCTCGAAATTAATAAGGCTATTATTGGGTTTGAGAAAACAGTCAATATTTGTTATATTCTTTTAAGGTAAGAGAACATTTCCTCCAATTTTGAAATAAAATATCATTTAGATCATTGTTTTTTTTAATGGCTCTGTGTTGCAATTGGAGAGCAGTGCTATTCCAGCAATTATTGAAATCTTAACTCTTCTGAAGTTGAAACATTGGTGTTGTGTTGTCTACTTGTATACTTGTGTTGTCATGTGGTGTTTACCGCCTGTAATACTTCCAGATTGCACAACTGTAATTCACTATATTCTGGCATCAGTCAGACAACTATATCCCACTTTCAGTTAGTTCAAAATGCTGCAAGGCTTTAAACCGGTACCAAAAAAAAAAAAAAAAACGGTACCAAAAAATTTGACCACATCGCACTATTCTTACGCTCTTTGTACTAATTGCCTGTGCACTGTTGTCATGTCACTTTTAAAATTCTTTTAAATCACTAAATGGCTTGGCTCCTTCCTACATGTGAGACCTGTCGACTGAACATCAGCCTGGTTGGTCTCTTCAGTCATCTAACCAGATGCATCCCAAAGTCGAGACTGAAATGCAGGGGTAACTGTGCGTTCGCAGTAGCTGGTCCTACCTTGTGGAATGCTCTGCCCCTCTGTATTAAGTTTATATCATCTCTGTTTTTAAAATCTAGGTTGAAAACTTACCTTTTTGATTTTGCTTTTTATCAGTGAGAATTGTTTGTTTTAGCTATAATTTTAGCACTTTCTCTTTGTGATTTGTATTGTGCAGCACATTGGTCAACTTTGGTTGTTTAATATTCATTCATTCATTTTCTTGTCGGCTTAGACCCTTTATTAATCTGGGGTCCCCACAGTGGAATGAACCGCCAACTTATCCAGCAAGCTTTTACGCAGCAGATGCCCTTCCAGCCGCAACCCATCTCTGGGAAACATCCACACACACATTCACACACACACTCAAACACTACGGACAATTTAGCCTACCCAATTCACCTGTACCGCATGTCTTTGGACTGTGGGGGAAACCGGAGCACCCGGAGGAAACCCACGCGAAGGCAGGGAGAACATGCAAACTCCACACAGAAACCCCAACTGAGCCGAGGTTCGAACCAGCTACCTTCTTGCTGTGAGGCGACAGCACTACCTACTGCGCCACTGCCCCGCCCCATTGTTTAATAGTGCTATATAAATAAAATTGACATTTACACTGTTTAGAAATTAACATAACCATGCCTGAAAACATGCCATCGTTTTGTTGTTTTGTTCATCAAACTCATATTCATACTGTAAATCATACATCAATGGAACTGAAATTTGTCAAATGGTGTTTTTATTTCTGCTATAGCTGTGCAAACCCGCCCACACACACACACACACACACACACACACACACACACACACACACACACACACACACACACACACACACACACACACACACACACACACACACACACACACACACACACACACACACACACACACACACACACACAAACAAATACTTAATAGTAATATAACTGAGAAGGTTGAGAACATAGTGTTTGAAAATATATATTTTCCGTAAGAGATAAAGGTGTTTTTCACTGTAGTTGCAATAATGCTAATTTATTACAATATTATTATTTATACACACAATAAAAAGGATAAAGAAATGGCTAGTAACCATAAGTATAAGTACATTTTAAATAAGAAAAGCAGAATTTTCTTGTAAAACTTATTTTAATATTTCTTTTATTTTCTGTACAACCTCGAAAATCCCTGCAATTTGCAGTGTAATGAATGCCTTGCTAACAGCTCATCTCTTTTCAATTCCCCAGCGCAGAACTCTGAATTACCCGCAGTAATGGACAGTGACATGTTCACCGAATTTGCATACCAAACCTCATCCTTGAGTCTGATCCTGTTGGTTCTAACGGTTGGACTGTCTGGCAGTGTTTACCTCTGTGTGCTGCGCTACATCTGCACCGGCTGCTGCCAGCCTGTAGTCGTTGGACCTGAGGATGAGAGCATATCAGGAGTGGTGTGACTGCTGCTTTCCTTTCGTTTCTGTGTGTCTTTACTGATGTGCAGGTTAGCTTGTGTAATACAGCATGAAGCCATTCTTTTTCCTTTCAAGCAATTGAGCTGAAAGCGACATTCCACGTGTGTTAGTCACTCTGGATAAAAGCGTCCGCTCACTGTAAGATTTACAGTTCTAGAGCTCGACTGTATATCAAAAGCATTCATTTACTCTCTATGAAGTCATTTAGCTGTATGGATGACGCAAATGTTGAGTGAATGAGAGGGTGGCATGAATAAATATAGCAAGCATTGAATGCTCATTCAGTCTAGAGAAATCCATATGACAGAATCGACTGTACCACTGTATTTTGAAGAGCTTTTTTATTAACATATTTAATAGTTTATTGGTCCAAAGATTTGTGTTTTATTTATTTAATTAAATTTTTTCATGAAGTACTCTATAGAATGAAGTGCTTCACTTTGTATTCATTTCATTTATCAGCTAAATGTGAAGCATCTTATGCTATCTTCACATCAACATCCTTCATGTAATTAAGTAGGATGCTCCCCAGGGTCTTGATCAGGCAGTTGCTGAAACTGTTGCCACGGGCTACTGCTAGAGTTGGTTGCCATGGAAATAGATTCCTGCATTCACCTCTAGATGGGGCTGTTACATAAGCCGTTCAGATTCACATACATTTCTAATTCATGTTTGGCCACAGAAGAACAATTTTTGCCTCTAAAAAAACAAACAATCATTGCTTAAATGAAATAAAAAAGTTATTTGTAGGAAACTGTGGTTCCATAAAGTTTTTTTTTATTCTTATTTATCTTTTTATAAGGTAGAAAATGAAAAAAAAAAAAACTAAAAACAAATAACAAATAATACATTTTTAAAAATCTTAAAAAATACAGTAACACATCAGAACTTAAATGAACAGTTGACTGGTCGCATATTTCTTTACAGGTCACATAGACAAATAACATAGAGATCACTTTAAACTGTTTAAAGGCCTAAGTACAATCCATTTCTCCCAATATTGCAGGTATTTGCCCAGTTGTAGTTTTAAAGAAAAAGCCATCCTCTCCATATTTTCAACATTAGATACAACATCCAACCATTCAGATTTTGTAGGGGTTCAAGTTGTAGCTAAGTTACAGATTTCTTACTGGTTGCTTCAAGTATTTTAAATAAACACTGGTCTTTTACCTTTAAGTTGGCTGCAATATTTCCCAGGTAAATTGTTATAAAAGAAAAGTCCACTCCATCACCTTTTCCTTCTCCCGTGTTTGCATGCATGTTAACTTGGGGGTTATAAAGTAACTGGTAAGATTCCTCCAGCAGAAACCTTTCCACATACCAGAGCTGGAAGAGGTGGCCTGAACTGAGCAGATATTGGACCAATCTTCCTCTGAGATAACTAGGTTAGATTTATTCTTTCTCCCATTTTAGTCTGATGTCATTTGTTGAGTATTCCCTGGTGGATTGGATGGAATTTTGAAACAATCCTTCTACTGTCCCACGAATAATCTTTAACATCCATTTTTCGCTTTTTACTTAGACTGAATGCTTAAGAAAAGGCTTCTTTAGAATATTTCAATTCACTTTACATTGTAAATAAAAACATTTTAAATGAAACATTTCATATTTCAAATGATCTTTTTTAAGTATTTATGTATTATCTTGTTATGGCATCCATAGGTTAATACAGTGGTTCTCAAACTTTTTTCATCAAGTACCACCTCAGAAAAAAATTGTCTCTCCTAGTACCACCAAATGACCAGTATTGAAATACAATAGCGTATTAGGCCCAGTAAAGCAGCTACAACTCTGCACAGTTAAAACAAACGTGCCAAATTACCTCAGAAATATAGGCTACATGTCATATATGGCATATTATTTACATAATTTTTGTTACATTTTTAAATGTGTATAGCATGTACATGACATCTTTCATTCCTCCGCGTACCACTAGAAGGAAGCCTGTGTACCACTAGTGGTACACGTACCACAGTTTGAGAACCACTGGGTTAATACATTTGATTTCAATTAATCATTTTTGTGTGATTTTGTTGTCGGCACATTCAACTATGTAAAGAACAAAGTATTTAATAAGAATATTTCATTCATTCAGATCTAGGATGTGTTATTTTAGTGTTCGCTTAATTTTTTTTTAGCAGTGTATATTTTCATTTATTCATTTTCTTTTCAGCGTAGTCCCTTTATTAATATGGGGTCACTACAGCGGAATGAACCGCCAACTTAACCAGCATATGTTTTACGCAGCGGATGCCCTTCCAGCCACAACCCAACACTGGGAATGCATTCATGTGCTCTATTTTAACTGCTAAGCCATCATATATTGTGGAAATAATCAATTTAAATAGGTTTTAAGACCAAGTGGAATCCTCTGTTGGCTGTCGCTTCGTGTGTGACTTCAGCTATTCAGTTTTTGCCAGTGCACACAATTATTTTTCATGAGTTCAACATCCAGGTGCGGCGCAGTAGGTAGTGCTGTCGCCTCACAGCAAGAAGGTTGCTGGTTCGAGCCTCAGCTGGGTCAGTTGGCGTTTCTGTGTGGAGTTTGCATGTTCTCCCCGTGTTTTCACTTAGATTTCCTCTGGGTGCTCCCGTTTCCCCCACAGTCCAAAGACGTGGTATAGGTGAATTGGGTAAGCTAAATTGTCTGTAGTGTATGAGTGTGTGGATGTTTCTCAAAGATGGGTTGCAGATGGAGATAGAGAAAATATTTTACAAGTAACTACTATTTTACAACTAAATCTTGGACCTAATTAAAAAAAAAAAAAAACTAAAAAAAAAGGCGTGAAATGCCAAAAGCGACCTTTTGGCTATTGATGTTATCAATGAATTTTCAAATGTACTTTTGTTTGGTTATGATGACCATCCAACAATTTATTTCAGGTAAAATAGAACTTAAAAAGTCACTAAAATGCAGTATTTAAATCTCATGATTAAATAGTAGCCTAAATAAGGACTATAACTGCAAAAAGGTCCACTTTTTGAGAAAAAAAGTACCACCACTTTCAGCGGGCTGTCTACGGGTCTGTTTAAGGAATAAATCGATTGTTTGTATATTAAAGTTTCTTCATAATACCCTGGGCTCCAATAAAGAGACTTTATTTTTTTAACTGTAGAAATACTTGTGTGGTTCACTTTATTGTTGTATGTTTGTCCTGTGTGAACATTATAATGTTAATTGCATTGTTTTTGTGTGTGTACATACCTCACTATAAAAATAATTTAGGAGTGTCAAAAATTAAGGATGCATTTTCTTTTTTTTTCAGTGATGCTGTTTAAATTTTTATTAACCCATAACATTTCTCACAAAACTAAACTGACTAATTGTAGAATGAGGCAGACTTATGATCCTCCAAGATAAAGTCAAAGTTTGACAGTATTGCGGTTTTGCTCTTTACACCACTTCCTTACGCAGAGAGGTGTGTTGAAGGTTGTACTTCCCCTCACAAACATTCTCTGTTGCTTACATCATGTTTGACTCTGTTCTATTTTGAAGATAGTCACAGTTTATTTCCTAGTTATGGGGCATATGTTCAAACATCTGAATAATTTCCTTATTTACTAATAAATCTAACGTTAAATAAAAAAGAATTAAGCCAGATGTGTGAAATGTTTGTTTATCTCTTGAATCTTTCTGCTTACCATAACATCTGTAGAGACTGTTGTATTACAGTGTATTTTGATATTCATTCATTCATTCATTTTCTTGTCGGCTTAGTCTCTTTAATAATCGCCACAGTGGAATGAACCGCCAACTTATCCAGCAAGTTTTTATGCAGCGGATGCCCTTCCAGCCGCAACCCATCTCTGGGAAACATCCACACACACTCATACACTACGGACAATTTAGCCTACCCAATTCACCTGTACCGCATGTTTTTGGACTGTGGGGGAAACCGGAGCAACCGGAGGAAACCCACACGAACGCTAGGAGAACATGCAAACTTCAAAGAGAAATGCCAACTGAGCCGAGGCTCAAACCAGCGACCCAGCGAGCTTCTTGCTGTGAGGCGACAGCACTACCTACTGCGCCACTGCTTCGCTGTATTTTGATATATATTATTTTATTATTAAATTGCTGTTTAATTAGTAGTTGATATTGATAGTTGTGTTTTTTTTTTACAACAAACACCATTGTCTCACATGTGTAAAGTGGGCAGACATAGAAAAAAATTCTGGTGGACGCTCTGTCTGGTCTTCATTTCATCATGCTTTTCTCCTTTTGATAGGTGTCATAATATAGTGAAAACCAGAAGACAGACAAGGCAAAGAGATATGAAAGCTTTGTTGTGGTCTTAAAACATCTGGATGTTATTTTCAGAGATGTACAAACATGCTACTCTCATCAGAATGCAAAATTCAAATAATATATTTATAGTTTCTTACAAATGTAAGTTTATATATATATATATATATATATATATATATATATATATATATATATATATATATATATATATATATATATATATATATAATAATAACCACGACAACAACAACTATTCTTATGATATATAGGCTCATTTCATTCATTCTCTTTTCGGCTTAGTCCTGTATTAATCAGAGGTTGAATGGGAATAAACCAACATTTATTTATTAATTTATTTATTTATTCAGGAATTTATGGATTTATTTACTCATTTATTTATAAATTTGAATAATTATTTATTTATTATTTTATTTGTGCAGGAATTTATGGATTTATTTAACCATTTGTTTATATATTTGTATAATTATTATTTTATTTATGCAAGAATTTATAGATTTATTTACTAATTTATTTATGTATTTGCATATTTATTTATTTATAATTTTATTCATGCAGTAATTTATGGATTTACTCATTTATTTATAAATTTGCATATTTATTTATAAATTATTTTATTTATGCAGGAATTTATGGATTTATTTACTCATTTATTTATATATTTGCGAATTAATTAATTAATTAATTTATTTATTTGTTTATAGTTTTTGCAGGTTTCGTCCTCCATAGTCTCAGCTCTCTGATTGGTTGGGTTTGGGTTCCAAATAAGTGGAATGTCAACATGAACTATATACAAAAACATTTAATCTGCATGAATTTTATTTAACACACATTACTTAAAATATATATATATTCTAGGCAAACCCCAGCGGCTAATGAATGAACTACAGTATACCTATTAATTGTTACACTAAAAAGCCAAAAAGCATAAAGAAATAATTAGCATTTTAAAAAGTTCATAATTGCCCAAGCAAATTATGTAGAATAAAATAAAAACTAAACTTAAAACTCCATTAAGTACATTAACTGTAACATATGTTTAAACATTAGAGCATTAATTAAAACCTCCGTGGTATTTTAGCCTAATTATTTATGGATTAACTGTCCTAAAAGAACCTCGAGTCGACAGTGGTAACGCTTTTTTCCCACGAGCGAGTGAACGCCGCTTTCTTCCGCCCAATCAAACTCCAGCTCCTCGTTCACCTGATCACAGCGAAGCCATTTTGTCCTGAACGGCTCCGCCAGCGCATTCTTCACCAAACCGGAATAACGTAGAGCTGACAGTTCCACAGACACGGCGACAGACGGCGGGGTTTGTAGCCACACCAGCCCGAATTTAGTCCTGAACAACTCGACGTCTCTCGGTGTCTCCACGGGCGGAACCGTGTCAAATTCGCGGACTAAAGGGAGACTTTTAGCGGGACGGAAAGGAAGAGAAGCAGGCATCCGGTTAGACGCGCTGGCTCACCGGGCTGGAGTCCAACTTAAGCCGGACACTTTCAGCTGTTCTCGTCGGGATGCGCCTGGGACCTGTTTAAAACAACATTAACCGTTGTTTTTGAAGGTTATGTGTTATTTAGAAATAGCTTAGTCTTTGCTTGCTTTTCGTTGCTAGTTCTCTGATATAAGAAAGCTGAAGCTCGGATGTGATTTATCTACTCAGCTGGCTGGGCAGATAGTTTAGGTTTTGGTTAGATGTTCATAGCTTGGTTACATAATATTTCTTCCCTTTTGTTACCGGCAGAGTAACATTTTTGAGTTAATCCTGCCTTCTTGCGTCCTCTTTAGTTACCAAGTCTCTCGCAGGGTTTGGTTTGTACGTCTATGCATATTTTTCCTCGCAGCAAACCTGTCAGAGTTCCTTCTGGTTGCCAAGTCTTGGTGCCAGGATTATAAAGGCAGAGAATAAAGAACCACAAGGGAGATTTGCTTATCTTATCATTAGCTAGGCTGCCGGTGCTTCCTACATCCAGTTAAAAGCTCTGTATTGGTGAGGCTCGAGCTGGCTGACAGGTGATATTTTCTGCCTGAATCCTCTGAGCTGGCCTGACTGATAGCTATGACATTTTCCAACAGTTGTTTTGTATCTTCAGGCTTCAATAGTACTAGTGTCTGCTCTTGGTGCCAACGCTGCATTAGTAATATTAGCTAACAAAAGCTCAGATCGCCCCCTTTCCGAATTAGTTACGGCATATCTAGTTGTGACATTTTTACTAGTTAGATCAACTTTTCCTTCCCTTTTTTGCTACAAGACGTGTGCAGATTAGTGTCACTTGACTTGCTGGCTGGTTCGAAGCCTATAAAACTCAACCGTTTGTATCGAGTCAAGTGTATTTTTGTAAAATCGTCAAACTCCTATACTAGGATCTTAGAGGAAATACACAGGTTTGCAGTCAGACCGTATCAAGTTTAGTGGTTGGGTTTTTCGAATCTCAGCGCTGAATTAAAATGTCAGGACAGTCCATCACAGATCGCATCGCTGCAGCCCAGCACAGCATGACTGGATCAGCCATCAGCAAAGCCGTCTGCAAGGCCACAACGCATGAAGTCAGTGGACCCAAAAAGAAACACCTCGATTGTAAGTATGCCAAAATAATCCTCATATTTCTTTGCAGATATTCTTGGATGCTTTCTAAAAGCCCAAAGTCTAACTGGATCCCTGGCATGCAGTTCCACTAGCTTTGCACATCCTCAGCTGTCTGGACACCAGTGATGAATTGGAACGTGCTCGTGATGGGAATGCTGATTTGTCTTTGGACGTGGTCAGTTCAGGGAGCTGAGGCCACTGTGGCAGTATGCAGTCATTCACTGTCTTTGTGGCCAATTTTTTTGTTTTATAATGATGTATGAGTTACCGCAGCAGTGATGAAGAGCTTATACGATCACGCAATCAGCTTCAATCTATTAATATCTGCTTCATAATAAGCCGCTGCTGTGATTTGAATCGTTGAATGCAGCTGTCAGGGTTTCTGAGGCATTGTGTTTGAAGTCATGTGATGTGCGTAATGTCTTCACGTCTTGTGTGATCCTCTTTAACAGTCATCGCCGAGACGGTGTGGGAGCGGCGAAGGTCAATACAGGCATGTGTGCAGTGAAGCATTGAGTCATTGATTCTTTTGACAAAAGCAGAGATAATGCAGAATGCTGCACATCACTTTCAATCTCACATAGGCAGTGCACAACATGGAGAAACGCAACACGACTCCTGAAGTATCTGCACGACTTCTGTCTAATATTCTGCGTGCAATAAATTAGGGCTGTGCAATATGACTATATTGTATGGACAAAATATGTTTATGTTTTACATTTAGTCAACATTGAGGCAGAATAAAAACAAGGTTTATTGTTTTTATAATATGCTTTATTTTTATATCATGGTGTAGGCATTGGCTGGTATAAGTTTCTGATGGTATGATAACCTTGGATACAAATATCATGGTTTCATGGTATCACAGTATTATGACTACTGCTCTAAAATATGTTCTTTTTTTTTTAAATGTCTGTAAAAAAACAAAGGCTTCCCCCCATTGAACACATCATATTTTATTTTAAGAAACATTTATAATGTTTTGGAACCGTAAACATGTCAGGCTAAATAATTCAAATAAATCATTGACCTCTACTGTTTTCATTAGTTTAAAAAGCACAGATTTCTTTACAACTTGAAAAGGCGTCTTTGGATATCTTTCTTTTCTTTGGACGTAAAGTAGCCACTGCACTGTTCAGGTTTACAGCATGTTTGAATGTTGGTGTGTTAGCCATTTGTTTTTCAAATGTTTCCTGAATCGTGGGCTTTTGATGTGGAGGGTCCTTAGTACGGTTGCCATAAAAAACTAAATAAAATTATCATAAAAAACACACAAAAAACTTTCATATATCATATTGTAATGGCATTAGCAGTATTAAAACCTTGACTTTTCCAAACTGCGGTAAAGCTTGAAACCGTTTATCTTCCCATGCCTAGGTGTCGCAAAATACATTGTTTACAGTAATACCTTTTCATAATTTATAGGAGTGCAATATTACACACCATTAAGGGGATTGCAGGCAGAAACGTGAATAACTACACTGCCTTTAATCATTCATTTTTTAAAAGTCTTTTATATTTAATTAATGTTTATTTATATTTCTACATTCTTAATTAAACATTTTCCCTGAAGTTCTAAATAAAGGTAGAAATATGATCACATATGTATAAATACAGTTCAGAGAATATAATAAAAAAAACATTCTTAAGGCACACCAGGATGGTTTTTGCTCGTATTTTCTGTCGATGTTTAACGTCTTGTGACTATATAAAGGGTGCCAATGTGATCGTGCACACCAGCGCGCAAAATGCGGGGTGTAAAAGCATCATTTTTTTAAGAAACACCTCATGCTCGTTTTTTTTTGTTTTGATGTACCGCGAAAAAAAAATCGCTTTGGTTTGAATCCGGAAAAACGTCTCGAACAACGCTGACAATAAATGCAAACGAAAAGCGGCCCGGTGTGCACGAGTCTTTACTCCAGCACTAAATTCTCTGAGCACAAAAAAGTTACTTTGTATAACTAGCACTTATTGTTTGTATTTCCTCTTCTTGTTGAATTGTTGAATGCCGCCTCAATAGTAGAGGCTGATTTATGCGTCAAGCGGATGCGTATGCTCCGGCGCAGCCTTCGCATGATTGCAGACTCCTCGCCATGGCTGGCATCGATGCTAATGCGCACATCTCAAAAATGTAACTACATGTCCCAACGATGCATTGCGCAAGCTCTGTGATTGGTTGGCTTGGTAGTGTGGGCAGTGAACTGAGCCAGATGGAGCGAGTGTTTACAAGTGTCGAGTCTTGTGAATGAGCTCCAAATGGAAACTTTTGTTTTGTGTTTATTTTATTTTATGATTAAAGTTGTAACACGTATGCCAGTTCCTGCCTCTGAATGAGTGAGTTTTAGCTACTTGAACATGAAGGTAGCATTCAGAAAAAAACAAAACAGAAGAACATAAAAATGTACTGCTAGCTAACGTTTCGAAAGTGTTACTACAGAGCAACACAAACCGCACGCAGAAGCTGCACGGCTACCCGCAAGGCAGGGTCACGCCGATCACTCGATGCAGAAGTATATATCTGCCTTATGTCACCATATTGTGATATATCATTATTAGAATATAAGATGATTTAAATCATGATATGATATTTCTGTTATATTGCCCAACATTTAACAAAATCGAGGGATTTCTTCTTAGACATTCAGCTGCGGTTCCCCTATCAGAACAGGATTGTTTCCCCAACACCTGCTGTGCTGTAAAACCACCGACTTGAACCATGAAAAGGATAAAGCCTGATTGGCTTGTTGTGTGTTTTTGTCTCTGTTTCATCACTGTTTGCAGAATACGGATACATGTTTAGTCTGTAATGGATTTGTTCCCTATGTCAGCCACCTGTTATATGTGGCCTAGCGGCTAGAGTGTGCCATGCTGCCTGATTTCTTGCTTCTCGTTTAATCTCACAAACAATGCATAACACCATTTTTACGTTTTCTTTGTAATTGTAACACAGAATTACTGAATGTCAGATGTTGCTTGCTTCCTCTTTTTGTTTAAAGGAGAGAAGTATTATATCCAGAAACATTTCCAATTACTTGCTCAAACCGGTTCTTAGAATTGAGAAATTTTTGAAGCCTGACGTGTGGTGGTGTTTGTTTTGGAGCCACGGAGATGTATGCATCATAATTGTTTGTTAGGGATGCACTGCTATCCTTTTGGAAATTTCTGTTAAAGTAACCATTTTGCCACTAATGTCATAAACATTTTTTTTTTCAATTTTGGGAATAATACTGTTTACACAATTACAGACATTTAAACAAACATCAATAGATCTTCCACATCTTGCTTATACAAAAATAAACAGAATGTTCCTTCTGCGATTTGATTAGATGAGTATGTATTTGTAGAAACATAAGGTCATTTTTTTAGTATAATTGATTTGAATGTTTTTATATTTGGATTACATTTGCCATAGTCTAACAATAAATAAAAATTACTCTAAAATAATCTGAACAAAAGTCACATCGCAGGATATGCAATGCTGGATTGGGATTATAGTTGTCTAAAAATCAAAGGTAAAACACACTGGATTTGTGCAAACACGGTAGATTTGAACCACAAATGAACCATGTCGTGTCTTAAAGTCTTAAATCTCAACAGCTAAATTTTAAGCCTTAAGTCTTAAATTTACTGAAATGTGTTGTAGGTCTTAATTTTTTTTTAACAGGTCTTAACTTTCAGTTGTTTATGTATATAGTACAGTAGCTACCCAATTTGGCTATTAACACCCATACAATCACCAACAATCCATCTCAATAAAACTTTTAATTTAAAAAGAGCATTTAATTACTTTCCTTACAGTAACATTTGCTTAAAAGTTCTCCATTTATTTGCTGATGAGGATAATGACCTGACCTATATTTTTTATTATTAAATTATTATTATTGTAGATTGAAGTAATTGACAGCTATGCTTTGTTCTGTTCTGGGTAAGGGTTACAGGGTTTTTGAATGGATATATTTGAAAATTAATAAAAGAAATATTCAAACTAAATTTTTATTATTTAATTATTAAATGTATTAAATTTTGATGCATTTTGTTGCATCTTTCCTAGCTGGGATATTTGAAAAAAAAAAAAAAATCATTAGCATTTAGTCCTGTAAGTCTAAAAATTTAATTTATAATAGTCTTAATGTCTTAAATTTGACTTGGTGAAACTTGCAGAAACCTTGTCATCTGTATGTGGTTTTGAGGCCCATGACCATGTGAGCATATTAAGAGAGTTTAAAGCGTTTTAGTTGTGCATAAAGAAGTCTAATATAAATAAGTTTTCATTGAATATGATGAAAACTATGCAGTGTTATTTAACATTTGATTATTTAACTTCTGTTACTCTCTCCAGAAAACCATGAAGCATGGTTTATTTAATTGTAATATTTGCTCCATTGTGTTTATTTATGACTAAGTTTGTTTATCATATATAATAAATTACATAAAAATATATTTATTTTTCACTCCCCTAAACAATCATCCCAATCCATCTAAAGTAATGACTTGCCAATGAAGCTATTTAAGTCAGCTGGTGAAATATTTATATCAAATATTTATGTAGCAATATATATTGAAGAGAAAAAAAAAATATTGCAATGTCATATTTTTTCAATATCGTTCAGCCCTACTCTAAAAGCAGGGTAGAACATTGACATTCTCGTGCTGTTATTTGCTCCCTCATGTTTGTTATGTTAAATATAGTCATGCAACAAGCGTGCACTGCAAACAATAGAAAGTAGTTTCTGCATTGTAACACACTGGAAAAACTTCCAACTTTTCAGAATGCCACAAGTACACCACATGTCATGTGACTAAATCCAACCATTCATCATTGAAAACTCCGCTTAGATGGAGGAATCACTGTTCATCATGTTTTTTTAATTCATTTTCAGTGCTGGGAATGAATGCATCCACTTGTAATCAGAATGCATTGCTTTGGGGGAGAAGGAAGAAAGTGATGCATTGCATAAACAGTTTTTAAATATATTCTTGAGGAAGTTGAA